TCGAAATTATGTAATTCACCCAAAAGGATACTCCGCTTGAACTTTATTTTTGTGAAGGCAGACTTTACTGCCGACGAGAGCAGCGAGCAAGATAAAATGGCCAGTCTTAACGGCACTTCACACAACTCTATCGACGATGAGCTTGATTTTTCAGACATCGAAGCCAAGTGCGGGCTTCTTGCGTTTTCAATTTAAATTCTACTCATTTTCTTCCGCTCAGATATCGCGTGGACTTCGACGACGGTTTCGACAGTATAATCGTGGTTGATGGCGTACCTGTCATCGACAGGTCTAAGCTCGACAAGTTACTCGCAAAAATCTCCAAGGAGTTCTCCAGAAAAGGGGCTGTGATCAAACAAGATGACATTTTCGTACCATGGGACGACAAAGCAGGAAAATCCAAAGGGTACGCTCCTTCTAGCTTTATTGCTATACTGTTTGAGAACTAAAGTATGGTAGCTTTATTTTTGTTGACCTTGGAAATCCAGATGCGGCTGCCTTTGCGGCTGGCGCAATGAATGGACACCCTTTTGATGCGAAGCATACTTTCCGTATCAATCGATTCACCGACGTCGAACGCTATGCAAGCATTGACGAAACATACGTTGAACCTGCAGTAGAGGAATACCGTCCAAAGGTTTGACTTCCCTATCGTGATCAAGATGTTAGACTCACTCTTCAAAGGAACATCTCCGAGCATGGCTCGCTGATTCTCAAGGACGTGATCAATATGTGACTTACCGAGGTGATGACGTGGAAATCCATTGGCATGGGAAGCCCTCGCAGTGTGAAATTGCCTATGCAAAAAAGGTATGTGGCCGTCCTAGTCATCATTGCTTCTACTTAATTTTTTGAAAGAATTGGACAGAACTCTACGCCTCATGGTCACCGCTTGGTACATACTTCGCTACGCTTTTTCGTCAGGGTGTGCGCCTGTGGGGTGGACCATCATGGGAACCCCAACATCGATTTGCACATCCCCTCGTCAAATTGATCGACTTTTCTCCATGCGAAAATTACATCGTCACCTGGTCACATGATCCTATCTCAGTCCCCGCTAATCTTCCTCAAGGTCCCGAATTCTTTTCTCCGGAGGACGAGGGCAATAATATTGCCGTTTGGGAGATCAAGTCCGGTCACCTTCTTCGCACGTTCCCCACCACGGCTTACGAGAATGAGGATCCTGCGATGAAAAAACAAATGCAGTGGCCCGCCTTAAAGTGGAGTTCCGATGATAAGTTCGTTGCTCGTGTAACGCCAGGACAGCATATCAGTGTCTATGAGTTACCAACCATGGGTCTTCATGACAAAAAGAGTTTGAAAATCGAGGGGGTTGTGGACTTTGAATGGTGTCCCCACGGAGAGAAGGACAAGGAAGATGCAGAGAAGCCCGTGAAAGCCGAGAAGGGTGCCAAGAAAAGAGAAAACATGCTTGCTTACTGGACGCCTGAAGTTGCCAATCAACCAGCGCGAGTGACCCTCATTAATTTCCCGAGTCGCACTGTGCTACGACAAAAGAACTTATTCAACGTCACAGAGGCATGTGTTGTCTGTCTTTTCTGTGGTTGGTCCTTTATTAAAGATCGACATTCTAGTGTAAGCTTCATTGGCAAAATCAGGGTGACTTCCTTTGTGTCAAGGTTGACCGTCACACCAAGACCAAAAAATCGATTTTCTGCAATCTTGAGATTTTCCGGGTCCGCGAGAAGGATTATCCCGTTGAAGTTGTCGAGTTGAAAGGTGCAGAGACCCCTGACCTTGACGGATCATTCACTGACATGTCATATAGACACAGTGACGGACTTCTCTTGGGAGCCTAAAGGGGAGCGATTTGCTATTGTGTCAAGCAACGATCCAAACCTCGGCAACCCTGGGCCAGGAATTACAATCAAAACCGACATCAGCTTCTACCAGCTAGATCGTACCAAGAATGATTTCAAACTGCTGCGTAGGTACTATCAACATTGCCTAGCTCTGTCGTTTGACCTTTTTTTACAAGGCACGCTTACGTCAAGGACAAGTAATACGATACGTTGGTCTCCCCGAGGTAGACATGTAGTTCTTGCGACAGTTGGTTCATCGACCAAGTCTGAACTCGAGTTCTGGGATCTGGATTTTAACACTGAAGAACGCCGAGAAGGCCAAAACGTCAAAGAAGAATGGGGAAGTGGCATTCAGCAACTTGGTTCTGCCGATCATTATGGTGTCACTGATGTGGAATGGGACCCAAGTGGGCGATACTTGGCCACCAGTGCAAGCGCATGGAGACACACGGTCTGTCGCATTTACGTTGGCCACTGCGTTGTACTGATCTATTTTGTGCTACGCAGCTCGAAAACGGTTACGCTATTTGGGACTTCCGAGGACAAGAATTAGAAAAGCTCATTCTTGATCGTTTTAAGCAATTCATTTGGAGACCGCGGCCCCGCAGTCTTCTTACAAAGGAACAACAGCGGCAAATTCGCAAGAACCTGCGTGAATATAGCCGTGCATTCGATGAGGAAGATGCTGCAGAAGAAAGCAATGTCAGCGCAGAGCTTATCGCTCATCGCAAGCGCCTTCTTGACGAGTGGAACGCATGGCGCGCACGGTGCAAGCGAGACATTGCAGAAGAGAAGCGGAGTCGTGGACAAAAACTTAATGGCGAACATCACGAAGAGGAAAAGGAGGAGATTGAGGAGTGGATTGATGAGGTTATTGAGCAAATCGAAGAGGAGGTCGTGGAGTAAATGTTTGTTTGATGTATTTGGTCGGAGGTATACACGTTGCTTTCCCATGCGCATACCCCATGTAGTCAGTCTTCGTCCATGGGGCTGTCCAAGGCGGTGTTCCGTCAACACTCGATAGTTGTGTGTTACCACCCAACTGGGTTCCCGTCGGACTTCCCCACCGAATACCGAATCTACCGATCCAATATCTAATCTAACATTCAATTCTTCCTCGTGGTCGCCGCAAACGCTGAGCACTGTGGCTGCCGTTCAATATCGGGCAAGAACGCTTTACATTGAAGTCATAACTCTTCCAAGTTATCTTGTTTCCTCGCTTGACGACCCCTGCCATTTGATTAGCGCTCATTTTGCAAGCATGGTACCTATTGGACCGTCACTGGCAGCCTCAACATCGGCCTCGACGCTATGGGCAACAGGTAAGCTTGATTTGCAATTGCGAGCTACTTAGTTTCAATAAAACCATTTGCAGCGTCAAAGGAGTGGGTGATCCCAGCCAAACCCAAACCCGGGCGAAAGCCCAAGAAGGAGAGTTCTGCAGGCCCTCCAGCCCCAAAGGATGATGAGGCAAGTAATTCCCTATTGCCCTGCACTTCAGATTGTTGACATTGATTGCAGGACTCGGAGTCTGCAGGTAGACGTGTTCAAAACAGGTGAGGGGTTAGGCAGTTCTCTGTGATACCATCCGCTTATTCTCGTTTCAGAGCCGCCCAACGCGCATTTCGCGAGCGCAAGCAGTCCCAGCTTGCTGAGCTACAGGCTCGCCTCCATTCTTATGAACAGGGAGAAATTGAGCGTAATGTCGCACTCCAGAACATTGCGAAGAAAATGAAGGATGAGAACGAAGAGCTCAGAAGGGAGAATCAGATACTGAAAGAAAAAATCGCTCGTCTCGAGTGGGAAGCAGATTCAAATGATGGTGACAGAAAGCGGAACAGGGAGAATGTTGTGGTCGTGTCACCTAGCATGTCCCCCGAACGATCTATCCGCAACAGCAAGAAGCGAGCGAAGATGGAGGCTGAGGCGACGGACTCGCCGCAGGGCATGTCGAGTCATTTCACCTCCTATAGCCCTCCGTCTACTTCAATGGCTTCCTCTCCTGATGACGGAACTACCGCCAGCTTCTCCTCAGCAGGTCGTTCAGGACTTTTCCCCACACCCCCACCCTCCCTCACACACATGCTCAACTACTCTTCATCGGAGCCTGTCCCAGCATTAGATGCACTAGATACACAAGATTCAGCGGATTCCTTCCAATGTGTATTGTGCAGTCCAGAGGTTCCTTGCGTCTGCAGGGAGATGGCCATGCAGCAAGCCGTCACTGACACTGATTTAAGCCACGTATCACTCAAACCGAAACATGATCATTCTGCCACCATGTCACCTATGGACCAACCCACGCAGCTAGGGGCATCTACATCTTCCCAGATGAATATACTCGAGAACCTCCCGGCATATCAAGCGCCTGTCCCAATACGTCGACGAATGCCCGGTCAGAGCGCAAACCCAGTCTTCTCTGTGACTCCGATTTCGGTCCCTCTGTCATCCGCCAAATGTTCAGGTGACCCTGCTAATTGCTTGGCATGTTCAGATGACGCATTCGGAAAGGCGTTCTGCCAGGCAATTGGACACTCCGTCAATTCGACGTCACCCTGCATCGACTGTCCTCTACGAACTAACCAATCTGACAAGATCGTTGTCGGTGGTTGCTGTGGTGACATCATGAAGTGTGGGTCTTGTGGCATAGCGCCCATGATTTCGTCCACGGAACCTCGCGCTGAGACGTCGATACCGACCGACGATGCTTGGCGTCAGCTCAAATCGCACCCAAATGTCGCATTCGCAGATCTGTCATTATTGGCCGAAGTGGTTGCTCGTAGATCCAAGTGCACTGGCTCACGGGTGGTAATATCACCGGCGCCAGGATCCATCACGCCTGAACGTAGCACACTCATGGCAGGACATTCTCATCAGGGTGGATCCACGGCACCAGATCATCATTCGGTGCTACTGACGGATCCACATGAGCGATACCGTCAACAGCAAAGAGAGCACTCCTCGCCACCAAGGCTCGTTCCGCAAGAGGTGTTGATCGAGTGTGGACGTCGAAGAATGCGGGAGGTAAATGCAGATGGTGTCAGAGAAGCACTCCGACTACTAGATTCTAAGTTTGCACATGCTCGGTAACTCATGCTTGTGGATATTCTGTATGTAATATGTATTAAGCGCGTCGTGTTACGAACATTCATCCCAACTCGCATAAATGAGTTATTCCTATCCCTCTTTATGCAAATATCCATCGCGTCTATCAAGCCCATCAGAATGTGACCCTGACCACTGCTCAAATCGCATCCACTCCGTTTTGATTGTCCTCATCTTCCAGTGCAGCAGACGTTGTTGACGCATGGACAATTTGCGTCTTCTATGTTCCGGGTTCAAGCTATAGGAGCGGAATGTCACGGCTAGTGTGCGAAGATCGGCATGCTCCAGCTCAGGAGGAAATGGTTGAACTTGTGCCCACATTTCGCGTAGGACGCGTCTTGCTACTGAATATGCTCCCACAGCAAAATATGCATGGGCAACTGCGTCGATGGAGGGCACATCAGGAACAATACCAGCACGAATCATTGCACGGAAAGCCCGCATGGCTTCCTCTGGCTTTCCTCGGCGACCATAGCCATTGATGAGAATGGTGTACATTATCACATTTGGCTGGATGCCAGCCTCAAGTGCATCTCGAAGCACTTGTTTAGCGCCTTGGATGTCACCCATCTTCGCGTACCCGTCCATAAGCGTGGAGTAATGGTGGATGGTTGGATGAAGCCCTTGATCCAACATATTTCGGAAAGCAGTTTGGGAAGTCCCCATGTCAGACCCAGCAACTGCCTCATGCTTCAGCCTAAGTGCAATTGTAGCACGATCACTTTTAACAGCCTGCCGGGAGACCGACTGCAGGATCGGTCCAAACCAGGATTTCAACCGTAAACGACGGGGAAGTTTGAGACCGGCTGTAGGATGATAGTGTTCAGTGGTGTCCAGAATACGTCCCTCCGGGAACTTTGGCTTGTAAGTTCGCTTCTTGGAGTACTTGGCAGCAGTCGTGTCCCACCCACATCCGTGAGCCATGAATTTCTCGCGACGAAGGATGCTCCGCAGGATGATGTGGATGTGTCGGATGGTAGGTCGAAGGGAAGGGGATGAAAATGAACGAAGGACACGTATCAACTGACGAGGACCAGTCCCTTGTGCTCGTTCGAGGAAACTCATAAGAATTTCCACCGTGTGACTATCAGGACTGATCCCAACAGCACGCATCGTCCGCAAGATATCTCGCACCGCTTGAAGGCCCATGACGTCAAGTAATCCACTCATTAGTGCATTGAATATATGCGCTGTCAAGGGAACACCCCGGACATCAACCGGAAGTGTTGTCAGCGGTTGTACCTGCATCATGCTACAGAAGACCTCAGCAGCAGCAGCAGATCGTGTGTTCAACAACATGGCGACGATACTAATGGCTTCACGACTATGACCTGTAGCTAGATATCCTTGAATGAGGGCTGCTAGAATGGAGGGATCTGGATGGACACCGGCTCGTTTCATGTGGTCCAGGAGTTTGAGCATGCGCGAAAGTTTGCCTTCTCTTGCCATATAGCGCAATAGAATTGAGAAAGTAGCCGCATTGGGCTTTACAGCAGGGGAGTCTACGGGAGCGGGATCGCCAACGAGCCCGGTGGTACTGCCAGATCCCGTGGGATTTCGGCCGCGTCCACCAGGAAGATCGAATGCAAGAATAAAACGCGCTGCTGCTTCTTCGTCCCTCGAGTCTAGAAGCTGTTGGACGATGCTGTTGAGTACAACAGTGGACTGCCGCCCATCTAGATCGCGTAAACCCTCGAAGGCACGGATTTGCACCTTCAGGTCTACTCCGAGAGAACGATAGGCAGCAACGATGACAGCATGAGTAGAAGAGTCTACGGGGAACCCAGCGACAGCCATCTTCTCCATGTACTGCTTTGCAGGATTCAAATTTCGGTTCCGAAGGTGACCTGAAATAAGGAGATGAAACGTTCGCCTGTTTGGTGGGAGGTCTGCGTTTGTGAACTCCTCGAATGCGTGGTCGAGTTGATCGTAACGTTGATTCTCTACGAAAGCGCGCATATTCCAATTGAGGAGTCGGACCGATGCACGGCCACAATGGTGCTTGGCAGTTATAACTAGCAGGGGGATCAAATCCCAATGGCTTCGGCTTGCTAGATGATAGGCAACGCCCTCGTAATGATTTGGTTTCAAGTAACAGCCAAAGTGATGAGCAATATTCAGGATTTGTAATGCTCGTTGTGGGCGTGAAGTCGCGACCGCGTCCTGGGCGAGACGATTGACACACTCCCTGTTGGTAAAATACCGAGAGTAGATAGGAACGTTCTTGATCTTTTTTACAGCTTCGCAATCCACCGACTCTCCATGCGCGAGACACGTATCGATGGCAGCTACCACTTCCTGCGGGTAACTGTCCAGAGTTCCTGTGGTGGAAGATTGCTTGGCTTTCATAAAAGACTGTGAGTCTGGGCTGCGATGATGAGATGTTCCAATATAAGCATGGGCGGGATGAAAATTTCGTTGTGCACTGGTCTGACAGTCTGGTGGATGTGCCTGGGAGTGGGTCACTGCCCGAGTGGAACATGCTGTATGGTGAAGTTGACAGACGGAATGAAATGGCGTTCCGAGAGCAATGTGGCGGCCGATTCGGACGGCTTGCTTGAGATGCTGCCTGTGGATGGGGCTGGCTCCCCCTAGCATCGACAGCCAGAATTGGGGGGGCTGTGAAGCTCGACCACCGTGACTGAAAGTAAAACCTTGGTGAGCGCTGAAAGTAAACGATTTGAATGCAAGGGATCTTACAGGAATTGCAGAGTCAATAATATGGACTTTCGAGCATGCAACAAACGTCCAGAGCAAAAGGTTGTTCAATTTCAATCGGTAAATTCCGGTATGCGACGAACGAACTTTGTCACTGACTCGGAGTCGGACCACCACCAAAGCAATGGCAATATTCTATATATCATACCTCAACTGTTCTCGCAGCGCGGTACAAACAATATTGATGAACTGTCTATCAACAGGTGACCCGTGTCTTCAGAGAGTGACAAGTACTTTCAGATACACATTTGACATCAACGTAAGTTGAATGAAAGAGGGGGGTGATGTCGCATTCGACATGACTGCTCGCCGGCTTATCGACACAAAGAACAACGGATTCCACTGGAGGCGGAAGAAAAATCACACCGATGAACCCAGTGCCCGATGGAGGCGGCCCACCTTACTCCAGAGTCGAAACACCCAACGCCACCAAAAATGTGAGTTTCATGACCACGTTCAATTAATTGAATTTTTCGACGACGTGGGTGGACAGGTGAACCCACAGCGTCCCAGCGGTGATCTGTTTCCGGGCATTTGGAATATGGACAAGATGTCTCCCGCGATCATAGGCATAACAAGTGATAGCGGGTGATTCAGTCCGGGTTTCCTCGTGCCTAATATATTGAAGCGAGCGAGCGTCAGTGTGTTATTCAAGAACACCCAGCGGCAGACGAGCGGATGCGTGACCGCACGTTGGTACCTTGGCATCGCCAGCACGCTTGATCTGTTTAAAACTTTACCTTGTTCGGTTTTGATGATATATTTACTCCGGGGGCATTGCCAAAGTCAGGGAGGCGATCACAGTTTGAGAGTTTCTTCCAAGTGGCTCAAAGGTTCACCAGATGAAGGTACCGAACGGTGTGACGTATCGAGAATTATCAAGGTACTTGTTACCTTGTCGGTTATTTCAATCTGCAGGTCTTCAGGGAGAGATTGAGTGAGCCTTGGGCGGGACTGCCATGCCGTCGGACTGAAGAGCTCAGAACCCCTGAAGCACGTTAAAGGCGCTAAACACTTTGCCAAGTAAACCACGCATTTGTTACACAACTTAGTCAGCGAACGGGGTGACTCATTCCGTTCAAATCTTCGTTCGATTGCGAGCGAATGGTTCGTGTTCGCCACCGCCGAAAACGTTTCATTCAATCTGGTTACCGCTTCAGTTGGCAATTCATAACGAGTCATTCGGTTTCACTCCGGCATAGTGATGGGACAAGAACTAGTTGCTACGATGGTAAGAATACAAGGTCAGTGATTGGAGCCAGGTAATATCGTAATTGATCAAAACGCGGTTTAGTTCGGGCTGTACTTAACACAGGCGGTGAAGTCTCTTCTTGTGCTTGACCCGTTAGACAAGCCAAAGATAAATCCTCACGTGATCTGCTTACCTCCGTCCATGGCGGAACGCTCTTTGCCATATCCCATCCAGTGTATCGCACACTCCGAATCCGATGCGCGATGCGATTGTTGTCGTTTCATTTCAGAGCCGAGCTACCACGAGATGCTAGGGCCCCAATCTAGCGATCTCTTCCCCTGGAATTTGGAGTTTTCAATTTACTTTCAAAATTCAGGGTCTGACACGGCGATCTTCGTCGCCCGTGGCGTTTCTCAGGTCTGATCTCGACTCCTTGACTTGGGTTTCACTTGTCTTATCCTTTTTTAGCGCCAGGTTATACGTTCAACTCGCACTGCAGTGTCCCGATCGTTTCAATATTTGACCTATCGCCGTGACTTGGAGGCTATCCGCAACACGCCTAACAACGCTTTACCATCACCCGCATTCGTAAACAACTCCGTACCGGGATATCCTCTGACGCAAGGCTTGGGCCTTCGTACAGCATGTATATAAAAGCCCCTCCGGCCAAATATCCTGTAGTCATCTCACCTCCTCTCCTTGATGTCTACTTACCTATCTCACCTCACAGTCCTAGAACACAGTGCTTCTTCTTACCCAGACGATCCGGTCTTTAGAGTGCCCCGATCAGATCTATCAACTGGTCAGGTACATGATTGGTCGTCAATAACTTACAGCAAGTTCAAGGATGATGTCGAGTTCACTGCTCAGTATTGGCGTCACATACTTGAGTCTGACGGCGTACCAGAGCATTCTGTCATAGGTTTATGGTATGTCTGTCGAGCCTGCTCTTTAATCTAGGTCGCTGACGTAGTAACTGCAGGCTACCGGGAATGGCATACCAGGATGTTCTCCATATCTATGGCCTTTCACGAGCTGGATATGTCCCTCAGCTCTTCAGCATTCGTTTGCCAAATCCTGACGTTGTACTTGAACTGCTCAAGAGGGCAGGCTCAAAAGCATTGATATTGGATTCCCAATTCCAGTCATCGACTGCATCGTTCCCCCTTCCCGTCCATCTGGCGGTCAAAAAGCGGGACATGGCATCTTTCGAATATAACCTTCCTCCCATACGAGCCACCTCCAACCCTGACAAAGCGGTGTTTATTTTCCATACAAGTGGCTCTACGTCAGGCAGCCCCAAACTCGTCCCTTGTAATGCTCGCTGGCTCGATGCGATTGTGGCGAAGGCTAAGGCGACATGCACTCCCATAAGTCCGTCCAGGCAAGATGTTTCCGTTTGGATGTATGTACATTATCCCGCATTGCCCTTCCCTTCCTAACTCTTTCCCAGGGGCAGCATGTGTCACATTGCTCAAACATTCAGTGAGCCCTACGTCGAATCATTTATGCTTTATTTTCTGACGTGATTCTAGTGCTCATTGGCGCTTTGCAACATGGGTCTTGCGTAATTCAGCCGACAAAAATTGGGTTTTCTTCAGAAGAATTGATCGATATGATCCACCACTGCCAGCTCAATCGCCTGAACCAGTTTTCCACATTCCTTTCCATTCACCTTCGCAACTCGCGGCAAAACCGCAAACTTCTAGGGTACCTCCAAAGTCTCGATCAAATCCTAATCAGCGGATTATCATTACCTCAGGAGGATGAGGACTGGGCATACAAAAACGGATTGAACATGAAGGTGAGATTCATCTGAGCATTTTTTCATCCTCAGCTTGACCTTATCGATTTAGAACCTCTTCGGCAGCACCGAATGTGGTGCGATGCTCCTATCTATAGGTGGCAAAGGCCGGGATGCATCTCTTCTTCATCCTATACCGGGAACATATTACGGCTTTCTACCCATTGATACCGACACTCAGATTGAGTCAGGGCACAAGACGTCAGCCCAGATGTTGGAGCTTGTTATTCTTTCCAGTTCTGGTGACTGCCCGGACGCGTCTTTGCGCGGTAACGACGGTCACTTCCACACCGGTGATTTATTCCAAGAAATTATGCCTGGATCATATGCATTCCGTGGTCGCAATGATGACTGGATCAAGAGCGAAAATAGCTTGCGGTGCGATACAAAGTACGTATGACGTATTGTGCGATTCAGAGCCATTAATTTACGATGTTAGAGCGATCGAAGATAATATTCGAGCCACCTGCGGTGACCTCATCGAAGAATGCATTGTCGTGGGAACCGGGCGTCCGTCACCCGCTCTTTTTGTTGAACCTGCTCCTGGTGTTGACCACGGGAAGCTCAAGCGGGACATCATCCGCAAAACTCGCCAATTTCACTCCCGGCGCTACCTTCATGAGCAGATCACGAACCCGAATTTGATTGTTGTGGTGCCTTCGGGATCCCTTCCTCGCACTGCAACTAAAGGCAACATTCGGCGTAAGGCTGTTGAGGACGCATACCAAGCCGAACTCGACAAGATCTACGCCTCTCTGCAGTAATGCAGTCCAGCTATATCTTATCCTAATTGAAGTAATCATCTTGGACCTAACTTATATCTATACCTTGTTTTATTAACGCTACCCACAACTAGCTATGGAACTCACTCGCAATCGATAACTGTAGCAGCACAACTTATATTAATCACTACTTCCACTACACAAGTGGAAGTACCTAGTCAAACCGTATATAATGTCAAATACCTTAGTATCACGGACTAACAATCAAAGAAGTTGCGAAGAGCATCATGAGTGTCTGATATGAACGTTTTCGGGTGTGATGCAAAGAGTCAAACGGGTAATCTCATCCCTTCCCGTAGTCCTGACAAGACCCGTAATTTCCCCCTTTTGTACCATACTTCTACGATAATCTACTTCCTGTTGGATGGCATCACCCAGGGAAATCTCTGGGGCAAAAGGAGGTATTGATACCGGGAATAAGGTGACGTGGTGCGTAAGGGGAAGCGGCATGGGCGTTGGTGGAAGATCGCCCGTCATCGAACTGGGCAGAGCGCTCGTGTCAAGGTTTTCAGAGTAAACAGGGAATGAATGTAAGTGCTGCTTGTAGAACGTCACCGGTCCACTGGATTGCGAGGTGAGATTCAGACCCCAATTGGTCAATATGATGAAAGGGGCATGAGACAAGCGAAGTCGACCAAGTGCCGTGAGCACATGCTGGAGTGGGTTCACTGATGAAGGCTCTGGTTCCCTTTGGGTCACGTTGCGCATCTGCTCCGCGATGAAACGGTCGGTCCAATAAAATGAGCTCATTGAATCCACGGCAAGAAGGCCTATTTCGTGTTCTGGTATGGAGATCTTGTGATACGATGGAAGATGTAAAAGACTGGTGGCGAGTTGGAGGAGCGAAGTTGGCCGAAAGACATGTAGACGTTGCAGCGATTCCTCAGTTAAACGTCGTGCCATCTCGATGTTGTAAGGGAGAAAAAGCGACAAACGGGCCAATAGCAACTGATGGAGTCTTGCGACATCAAACGATGCATCTGTGTCATAGATGACTGCAGCCAATCCATTCCCCCCAAAGTCGATGGACATTTGCCTTGACGGAGCAATGCAGAGCAGTACGAAATGATACAAGAGATGGGTTTTCCCTGATGAAGCAGGACCCTGAACCTCTATAACATTTCCGCGGCTGAGGGATGAAAGCAGCGGTGCAGGCGCTGAGATGTGAGGTGGAGCTGACTCGGATGAGGTTCGATCACAAAAGACATCAGATGGGGCGATGTGCTAGATCTCACCGTATACCCTTACGGAGGAAAGTAACTAATTATTGATTGAGCTAAGTTACCCTTGACGACGGAGACAGTGAACTTACATTTTGAAGGGACTCTCGAGGAATCTCGTTTAGCAAGGAAGCCATCTGCGTTCGAAAGTGAAATGTCAATCTCGTACACATAATATAACGGACTTACTGAACTGAAAGATGCCGTGGTCGATGAGAGCCACTTACTACTCGATTTGCATCGTGCCACAAGACGTTTGTACTATCATGTATGTACTAGTGCCGCGGCGGTGTTCTTACCACCCACCTACCCGTTCTGGATTTGAAAGACATGGTTTCGCATGAACAGTTTAACCAAGCACATCTCACCAAGCACATACATACTCACAGCGCATCAACTTACAGCTGGCCTGCAAGCCAGATTCATGTACCAATAGCTTTCTAGGGTGTTCAGATACCAGCGTTACGCCACCCTGAACTCATCATGAATACTAGTAGCGCCCCAACTTCTCGGGCCACTCCACCGGGTTTCAGACGCTCATCTAGTATCGCAACGTCGCCTCCCCCTGCGAAGAGCCTTTCTATACCACGTCCAGCTCTGGCTTCTGTTCGTGTCCCAAATTCACAGGGCGCAGCAGTATCACGCCGCTCTTCTACGAAAGCAGCACCAACAATGGGACCAGAGTCTCGCGAGTCGCTGAATGTTGCTCTCAAGCATGAGACCGAAAAGAAGGAAGAGGTGCATTCATAATTCTGAGAGAGAGTGCTTCGCTGACCGCCACATCAGTTGCTCGTCCAAGTCCAAAATAAGGATCAGATGATTGCCAGTCTGACGGCTGAGAACGACAATGTCATGTCTGCCTTGAATACGACAGAATCTCGCTTGAACGAAATGTACGTCGATCAGGCGCGGATGGAAGAGGAGATGGCAGCCCGTATCGAAGTCTCTGAAAAGCTGCGGGCACAAGTCAGGGAGCTTGAACGGGAGAAGCGAGATTTGCAAAGGCGATATAATGAGCAGGTCCGTTTTTATCTCTTCTCGCACTTCATACACACATGGATGATCGTAGACATCAACATTCGAGGCAGAGCGACAAGCATCTTATGACAACGAACAGCACCTCAGATCACGGATTCAGTCCCTTACGCAAGCCCGCAAAGCTGCTGAACCGCCCCGATCTGCCGATGCAACGCTTACTACGGATTCTTCTCACCCCGATCTCCTTGACACCGACGTTGAGGCGGAGGCAGAGGCATCAGAAGTTGCCATCCCTAGAAATCGCGAGGAACACCACTATTCTACTAAGCAGGACCTCAACGATCCGGAAAGCGAACCGGCTGAAATGACTGCTCTCAACCTTGAGCTCTCGACACTATCAACATCTTATACATCCTTGCAAAGTACTCTCATACTTTTGCAAGTACAGCTTGTGGATTTGAAGAGAGTGAACAATCAATTACAAGAGGACAACGAGAGCTACATGATCTTGTTACGAGAGAAGACGTTAAGCGGCCAATTTGATCTCTTAAAACAAGTCGGTGGCGCCCCAAACACGACGGACGGCGGCTATGATGACGATGAAGTGATGGTGGACGACGCAGGCAGTCTCAGGAGTACGGGCAGGAGCGTGTTGGACAGGGTCGAGGAAGAGATGACGGAGGATAATGATCTGGAGCAATGTTTCAGACCTGATTCGCCATCTTCAAACCGTCATGGACGTCATGTGCGCAGGAATGACTCGGCGTCACATTCTCCCCCGCGCGGAGAGTCTCTCGCCGACCTCCCTATTACTGGTCCAGGACTTGACCTGGCTGCTGAACTTGGCCGTGCTGAGAACAAGGACATTCTCTCCGGAGATACCATCGATGGCGATCGAGCTCTTGATGGCAAAGGAAGGCGAAAGAGGGTATCTGCGGACACCAGAAAAGTCTCCACTTCTGACATGCCAGACTCAAATGCAGACCTCGAAGCCCTGCGATCAGAAGTCAAGACTCTCAAAGATGCCAACAAAGCACTTTCTTTATATGCGTCCAAAATCATCGACAGAATCATTGCAGAAGAAGGCTTCGAGCATGTCCTTTCAGTGGACTATGAGAAGTCTCCGAACATGCATTCCAAGTCTCCTTCTCTGGGTGTAATAACCACTGCCAGTGCACCAGCGAAGGCATCCAAACCTCGACCACAATCAACCTTTTTCTCTCGAGCCGCCTCGGATTCCGCTCCCACCCCCGCTCCCGCTCCCGAGAAGATGCCATCGTCACCACCTCCCATTTCCGATACCTCTGCCCCGAAGACATCTCAACGACGCTCTATGTCCATCGACTGGAAGAACTTCTCTTTGTTCGGCGGCGCAGAGAAGAAACCCGAACAAGCCAATTTGCGACCTCTCACGCTGAAATCAACTTCCACACCCATGACCAGCGCACGCAAATTGGAGACCCATGAAGATGAGGAGGATCGGCGGGAAAGAGAGCGGCTCCATGCAACCATGAAACTCATGGGTATTGAGCAACCTGCTTCTTCTCCATTGGTGTCCATTCAAAAGAGTTATTCGACCCCCGAGAGCCCTCAGACTGCTACAGCCAGTCGCTTTTCAATCTTTAGGTCACGATCCACTACTGGTCATTCCGATACTTCGTCTGTCAACTCCGGACCTTCGACACACAATAGTCATCAAGCAACGTATGGACTTGGCATCATTGGTGATGGGCGGTCTGGGCTTACGCATGAGGCTCTGGAGCAAGCGGAGGCAGAGAACTCTTTGGCGGCATTGGATGCGCATGAGCAAATGCTCATCGATGAGATTGCCAAAGGTAGACCGGGAGGTTTTACTGAACCCCCGAGGAGCCTTGGGGAGGAGTGGAGAAGTCGCAGAAGCAGAAGGAGCGGAGGTGGGAGTAGCAGTACGGTTTGGAGTGCTGGAATGAGCCCCACAGGGGATGAGCCAGATACCTGAGTCTGAGCTACTTTCTGTATCACACTGCATATACCTTATTTATGCATACCATGATATATTTGTGCCGTGTTGCGAATAGACAACTTGTGGATTTCATACGATGTCGAGTGTTAATGTTTGATTCGAGTTTGTAGGTTATGTAATTCACATCTGCAAAAACCTTATCTAATTGATGTAATGGAGATTTTGCAGAGGCTGTAACCTCTTGTACAATGATACACGACTCCACGATGGTTTAGTTAATGAAGGGGGACTGATGCAGCAGCCCCGAGCTCATGTTGTCGTGGCGTCGGTCGCGCGCGCATGCAGTGGCGGTCCTGCAAGGTCGTGAGCGTCATGTCCGCGTTGCACACACTCAGATACTTGCCTCAGCGCTGTTCTGACAGCCGCTGTGACAGGGTTTGTGGTCCGATAGTCAATGGCCCGGGTAGGGCCCAAAGATGGTAATACACGAGCGAGTTTTTCTAAAAGCAAAGAAAGCGAGATGGAAATGCAAAGCAGATCCGGCAACGCAAACATTAAGATACTTACGCTGACCCGATGGATATGGTTTTTTCACTGGGAACTTAGCGGAACTTGAAGAACAAACCTATCCAGTTGTGTCTCACTGAAACACAATGTGCCATGTTCGACGAAAGGGGTCAAAGTTAGGAGTGAAGTAAATGCATTGTGAACATACGGGAAGAGACAGGAAGGTACAGTCTCCGGGGTTATGCTGGGCCGAGCGATTATCGATGTTCATTGTGACAAGTGAACTCGAGAGTCATGAAGACTTTTGTGGAGGTTGCGTATTTGAGCATACATTTGGCGAGGGATGAAAGGGAATAACTTTGACGGAACTAGAAGAGACCTTCGCGAAATGACGGGAACAGAAGCAAGAGGTATGCCATGCCATCGGTAGGGGAGGGAAAACGTCACGGGATGTCAACGTCAACTGTGCACCTTTCTCAGAATGTGCCCGCTGTCAGCTGAGCGTTTCTGCTTCAATCAGCAAGCGGCTTTGCTGTTAAGATCACAAGTTGTCCTTGCTGCCAGATTCAGGAATAACATAGCAAGCCCAAGATGACAAACGAGCGGCGAGAAAAGCAGCAATGCTTAGCAAGATACTAGTGCAGGCCTAGACGGTTATCTACTATAAGGGTTGCAGTTTCCTGGAATCAGTTCCTAGTTGTGTCCATAACAACCAGTCTGGTCACATCAATCATTCAACCACTATGAAATAAAGGCACAATCACCTAATTTGGCATGCTGCAGAATCCTGGCGTATGGCCATAGCAGATTGTCCCTGTGGTGTTCGAGGACGGATCAGGAGAATACGGGTTCCGGACCACAGTCTTTGAAGGGCTGTGAACATGATCTACGACAACGAACGTGCACAGACACGAGGCAAAGGTATCTTGATTCGTCTAAGATCGTATCGTTGGAAATCGTAAAGCGGCGACAAATGAAACGGTACTCTCCATGCAGTCTGGGAACATCATAAAAGGAGACATATTCGTGCTCACCAGCTATATCTAGCCTATCGTTCCTTTTATCAATACGAACACACTGCTGACATAGTGATTGGTTATATATCCCAAATGATCACACTTGGAAATTTGTGCCATAACACAGCACACGGTACTACTTGACACTGTCGGAAGTCAGCGCTTTCAGTTTTCATATCGCACACCTTTGTTCTTGAAATCTGACGCGCACATCCTTAATGTGCATACGACTGGAATGAATGTTGATATGTAGATGGGTTTGGTTCAAATGAGCATACTCACGTGCGCCACCCAAACCCTTATGCATGCACTTCCCGAACAATGTGCTAGATAACGCCCCCATGAAGAAGCATATATGTCGCTGACATCTTACGTGGATGGCAAACATAGGGGACATTGGCATTACACCAGTGGTCGTATACCATCCATCATCACCGTGAAAGTCTTGGAATATCGGGTATAGTCATGAACGTAGTAGTAGACTCTCGTGCATTTAGATTATCGTACATTGAAGTTATTGCGCCTCTGGGACATCAACACGCTTCACGAGTGTATTCTGCGCGTGAGTGCGGATCGTCTGAAATAGGTTTGACGAGTACTGTGGATTTGAGAGTATCAATGGCTGTCGAAGTTTCTCAAGTTCCCTTGAAAGCGGATTAATACGAGCATATAGTAAGAGTGAGGAAATCGTATGAACTCACAAAGCACGTTTTCGCTGGTTCTTCTTTAGCGGTATTCCCTTGCCCTCTCCAATCTGAAGCGTTTTGGTTTGAACTTTGTGAGCGCGAGCATCCTTTGTCTCCTCGGCTGCTGGACTGCCTTGTTCTGGCGAGTCACTCATATCAATGGCAGAAAGAACAGCGCCAATGGCATCAAGTCCGCCGCCGACTTGTTCTCGTTGCCGTCTATTGAATCGGCGTCTCTGCACTTTCGAGTATGGCGATGTTTTCGATTTCAGTTCTGAAACACAGGATGAGAAGACAAATCATAGTTGGAAATATAGAACGTACTTTCAATGAAAGCTTCGTGTTTGAGCTGCTGTTTCTCTTTCTTTTTTATTGATTGACGAGGCTGAGTAGCTGCTGTGGACATTTCTTGCAATATTACTTCCCCCTGACGAGTGTCGAGATTAAGCACAGAATTAGATTCAAAATTTTGTCATAAGACGCACTGAAATCTCTGCCGCGGCACCTACTTCGACCGCTTCAACCGCATTCTCTTGCACTGCAAATTGTCGCTGGGCAGGCTTAGCGGAAGGTTCATGGGCTGAAATACGTTTTCTGCGCTCTCTAGGCTATAATAAATATCAGTGAGATGTGTAGCAGTGAGGCTCATTGCCCACCATCTTGATAGATTTGAATCAAAGCAGTACATGACGTAAGATGCAGAAAGCTTCTGATTCTAATAAGTGTAAACAGATACTAGGGAGGAATGAAACACCGTCGGATAGACCCTTCCTTCTGACAAGCAATTTTTGCCGGTCCATCGAAATTTAGCGATATCAGCGGTTTTTGCACCGTTTTACCCGAATCCCGGAGTATTACCCTCGAAAACCGAAAAAACATATATTTAGTGCTCTAAGTTTGGATCTAATCTAAGCAGTACAGTCAATAGAAAATTATGCATAATGAACGGCACCGTGCGACAATGTCGCTTCCAAATAAATACAACAGTATCCAAAGATGGACAGAGGATCTTAGTGCTCGAGCCGAACCCGGGACTGCTGGGCGCAAGCGTTGTCCACGAAATCATCAGAAATGAGGTCGCCACCCTCGCTTGGCTTTGCGTTCTCGACGCCGACTGCAATGAAGGCTAGAACAACCAGGAGGGCACCTGCCAGTACTTGCGCAGCGGCAGGCTTCCCAAGGAAGGAGTCCCCGATGACCGCGACAGGAATGGTGAGACCAAGACCGACTGTCACCACTAAAGGCGTGGTCTTCAGCATCGCAATGACGTATAGGTAGTCACTCGATAAGGTGATAAACATCTAAACCATGTAAATTCCCAACACTGAGACACTGACGACGGAAACTCACATTCAACAAGATAATAACAATAGCATTATGGGTGGTGGGTATCTCAAAGCGCTCCATTCCAGCCAGATGCAGGATGACGCCCATGGGCCAGGATAGAACTATGTTGAAAAATCCCACAAACCCAAAAAACAATTGCATGTCAATTCTCGACTCTTCCCTAATCTGAACCTTGAGAAAGACGACGTAGAGAGCATAAAACACAGCCGACATCAAAGCCAAGAAGTCTCCCAAAACTGGTAATGAGGTGGCAGCCTTGTAAATTATTGATGGCCCTATTCCTTCTGGTTGGCCATCGGGAGACCCGTCAGAAATAGCAACAAGGATAACACCAACAAAGCTTGTTACAAGCCGGTGAGCCGAATCATACATGGAGAGAACGAAATTAACTACATACGCAGTAAGCACAGCTCCAATCTTGATCAATGTTAGGGTTTCCACGCGGAACATACGTCCAACAGCAAGAGTGAACATGCCTTCCAGGGATGACGTATTGGTACAGCTGATGAATAATAGTAGTACAAACACACTCACCACTTGTACCAGACAGAATTGTTGAACTTGCGACGCTGGTGTACGCCAGAGCGGCGTTCAAAGCCCAGTTCGCAATAAACCACAGGAAGCAGAATCCAAGTGCCAACCTTGCGGTCTCCTTCACGGTGAACGACCTATCGACCTGATCAATTGGAGCTATCAGCTCCACCTAGATATAGTCAGAGGGGTCGTGTGAAAGAATGATAGACAATGTAATTACTGCAGGCTCTGCATCAATGTCAAGCTCTTGCTCCAGCGGCTGATAATCTATGGTTGACCTGAAGTCGGTATCGATTAGCAATTAGAGTGATGGAATACCGTTTAAAGTTACCTTGTGGATTTGGGCGGACCCCACCGATCAGCCCATAATCTTCGTGTGATGTATGGCAGCAAGTAAAACACAAATGATGCAGTGTTAGTGTATGTTATCCTGCATCACCGTAAGGATGTATCCAACTACGAAGATGGGAATCACACTTACAAGAATGGCTTCTGGTACCCGTCGTCATACATGTCCTGCAGGAAATTGATGGATATCACTGCTCAGAAGTGCACTCATTTGCTTACTTGCGTCAAGAAACTGGACGCAGTCCATAATAGGACAACCGCGAAGAGGAGACCAAGGCCGACGATGTAATTCTTGGTGTTCGTGTTCCTAGGAACGCCTTCTGAAGGCTCGCCGCCGGAGTCGGACACGGTGTTCATCTGAACCAAAGGATGATCGATGAAACAAGACTAGCACTGGGTGGGCATACGCACTTATTCAATGAAGGGCCCGAGGGATCCAGTGGGTGCCAACATGTGTTGCCGTGTGAATTTTTGAGAAGACAGATTGAATGTCAGTACCAGTGGCACTTAGCACTCTACAATCAACCAATTCAACGGTCTATCTTTAATGCTACTCTAAAATCAAATGAATCCATTTCAATGGTACATGTGGATGAAGATAGGTATGTATATAATACACCGCACTGGAGCGCCTAGATTGGTAGTCCGTGATAATGAAGGAATATATGAAGTGTAGCATGAAATGCAAACAGAAAAATGACATGACGGATCCGATGAATATCTACGTGATATGATCTAGGATAGAAGGGTGTACGAGCCACGTAGTGCGCTAAAACGGCATTGTAGGGCGAAAGCCAGCATACGACTTGACCTTCTCAAAAATCCTGAAGAGGCTGATGACAATATTGATGCAATACGTGACAAGGCCAACCCCAACCAGGCAAATCAATGCAAGTTGATAGTCGCAAAGCGTATCTCCCACTCCGCCCTCATTTCGTCCAAGGTTCGGAAGCGTTAGCTCTGGCCGACTGAGTTCATCGTACCAAGCTATGCTTTTCGCTGACGCACAGGGAATAAGAGAGGTGAAGAAATTGTCGAAACAGAGGGAAAACGCCGCAGACCATGCACAGATGAAACAAACTTCGAGGAGGGTGTGTGCAAGTTTGGCAGATGTTCGCCATAATCCCATGGGGCGACCGAAATATTCGAGCTGTAATGGAATGAGATGACAGTGAGAAATCAAGGTGGAAAGACTTGCATATATTGCCACCATGACATGGACCAAAGTCAAAGGTGCAAATATAATTACTAAGGTTCTGGCAAACGTATGTTCATCAAGTTGTCACTTATCAAGCTGCGAATTGACGTACGGAGAACTTCCTACGATTCCCATGACACTATACTGCAATTCGACGATACGTATTCTGATAGCCACCGCAAGGGCCGCAGTGGTAAATGTTATATTGATGAATCTAAAAAGCTAGATCGCAGATTCATACACACAACAAAGTGAGTAGATAGCACTGCACTTACCAATGGCACATATATATTCGTAAGAATGAAAGTTCTGAAGCGCTTCGTCCTAGATCTCCCAGAGTTAGACCTGTCTCCTGATTCATTATCTGAGCGATCTTCAGTCATCCCAAGGTTGGAATAATCATTCGTAGGGAAATCGCGTGTTGGTTCCCATGGCGTGTCCCAACCAGGAGTTTTATTGCAAGGTAAAGTGAAAGGTGCAGAAGACTCGGCATGAAAATGTACAGCTCCCTTCTCCAGTGGAGACGCTGTCTGAAAGTAGGGTTCATTGTACGACCGGGGATTCATGTATGATGGTAAGGGTGGTCTATTTTGGTGGGCAGCACCTATCTTGCCAGCCGCTTGACTCGAAGGCTCTCCCTGAGGTTCTCGAGGACGTGCAAACGTCCCCCAAGGTGATTTATTCTCGGACCAAGTTCCATTTACTCCTCCAAATGACGAACGAGAAGCGGCGAGGTCGGATGGTTTCTGATCATATAAATGATGGTCATCATCTATGGGAGAAGGAGGTTCATCTTGCGCCCAAGCTACGTAGATTAGGGGACAACGTAAGCGACACCGCTCGATTAACATTCAGAAATTCATACGGGGTGCGGTAACGACGGTTCTCGTCGCTGAAGGTACTACAAGTGCATGACTCCGGACTGATGCTGCAAGACTACTATTTGACGGAATCGATAGAGGTTTTCGAGTGCTGGCAGCTGATAGAGACATGGGCGAAGGAACGAAAAAAGAATGAGGCCTAGAGACCAGCTAGTGCAGATTGAATGCCGGTCAGTTGTTTTTCAGGCCATCGGCTATACACAGATTCTGGTAAGTGATGCGAAAGTGCTCTAAATGTGCCGAGATGCCGACTATATGTGGTTACACCTGGGGTCATTCAATTATCGGTAAGGTTAACACATGGAGGACGGTTTTCCCTCAGTGTCAGCTAGCGGCCCTGTCGGCTCAAGATTCATTTCTCAAAACGACCTAGAGGAGGCGAAGGCCCGCAGAGACGAACAGTGGAAAGCAGCATATGCCAGGTGCGCAGCAGATACAGCCTTAACTCAAAGTACAATGACACATGAAGCTATACTAGGCTCGGACAGGTTCCTCCGCCACAGCCTGTGGAAGATTCGTTCGATGGTCGAAGTCTAGCAGAGGTGAGTAGCAATGCTTTTGCCTCCAGTGTTCACTTGAAATCGAACCGTGAATAGAAATTAGCCGCGAACAGGGTACGTTACTACAGTTGTTCTTCATTTGGTGGATTAATAGGTGGGTTAGGCCGCGAAGCAGGAAGAATGGGAGGAGAAGACGAAATTAGGCAAGTCAGAATGATATCTTTTCATGGTGATCTTGACTTGCCCAATTGTAGCAAATCAATTTCGAGCACTAGAAGAGGACGAGATTATGTTTCTAGATTCCATCAGAGAAAAGCAGGCCGAAGAAGAACGCCTCCGGAAAGCACAGGACGGCGAGGAGCTTTCAGACTTCAGAAAGTATGTCTCCGTTCATTATTTCTCCGTCGCTGACATTGAGAATCCGCAAAGAGCTGTTGCAGCTAGGGAAAATGACCTCAACAAACCTACGCAGCCTATGGCACAACCACGGAAACAGAGTGATGATACTCCGGAGAAGCCTAAAGTTCCCGTGGTGACGTCCAAGAAAGATGTCAAGAAATCATTGAAGGGTGTTGTAGTGAAGAAGAGACCCAAGTCTAATGTTCCAACACCCAGCGAACCGAAGGCGAAGGAATCTATCAAGAACATCGATAAGGATGCACCACCAGTCACAAAACGTCGCAAGATATCCGAATCATGACATCCATCGTAATTCCATCTCCCGACTTTCCTGTAGTTGTCATTGTGGATTTGTTCGTTGTAGCATCATCTAATTCAAGAACACGCTGCTCAGTCTTGACATTCCATTGTCTTCTAGATACAACACCAGAAGCATGCATGATATATGCTCATTTGTCTTCTCCGTGGGTCAGGTCTCATCCTCCCCGAGCTGTCGGTGTCGGTGTCCATCGCACACGGTTGAGATCCCTTTCCCCAGTCTGTCTCGTTTCCCAGCCAGACATTCGACCCATCGCCTCCGCCCTTCTCGCTGCTGCGGTACCTATCGTAGTTCTATCCAACAATCTTTTTGCTGCAGGTGTCAGATTGCCAGGCGCGTCAGCTCTCCGTGGAGTCCAACTTGGAGGGCCCATAGAACCTGACTTTGAGGAACTTCCTCGGGCTGGTGTACGTCCGATAATTGGGGTCGGCCCCCCAAGGAGAATAGCTTTCGCGCGAAGGCTTTTTGAAGCATGTGAGGATAACCTGTGAGATAATGCCTCACGGCTCGACGGCGCAGCAATATGGAAAGGCGTGCTAGGCAGTGGCAAGGCTTCTGCTGGATCATCGGACTTTGACAATATCCGTGGAGTTGCATTGAGGGTCCCCCATGTCATGAGCTGATTAACGGCAGAAGGGCCCAGCTCAGCAGCGGTAGGTGAAGGCAGGCTGGGTACAAGCGAAAATTCATTGATAGGGGACCGCGGTCGATCTAGTGAGGTGGTTAGAAGGAAAAAAAAAGACCGACGTGGGATAGAACTTACACGGCGTGCCAGTGATGGCGGCATCAATTCGACTGCGAGTGGGACTTGGCGGAGCAGATGTAGCTCGCGACTGAGAATCCCCTTCATCTTGTTCTGTTAGACGTGTATTCACATGCGTTATGATACCGAGATCATCGCTTGCTTTAGCTTTCGATGTACGCGGGTGGTACGGAGACATGTCGGCGTCAGGGGAGAACATGAGAGAATTGCGGGCCTGGAATCCAGTACCTCAGCCATAAAATGAAAATTGAAAATATCATCTGAGCCAAACGCACCTTGAAATTCCAGCCATCAACACCAGCCGGACGAGTATCTTTCCTTGGCGCCATAACGTCCATAGACTCGCCTTCCTCAGCCGCTTCACTGAGAATGGCCACCTCCTTTCCCTTATCATTGTCCTTCGCATCTTGACTTTTACCTTCAGGTTCCTTCGACGACTCTCCACTTTGCGTGATGAGTCCTGCGACACCAGGGGCCTCGATTACAAACTTCTCTCTCACACCTGGTGCTTGAGAAGGCTCAATCATCATCCTCTCCCTCGCCTCAATCATCCTATCCCTCTGATCCTCGACTCTCTTCTGTGCCTCCCATGCCCAACCCCACCTCTCCTTCCTCTTCCGGTTCTCCTCATCCATAATCTGCGTAAAGCTAGCGTTGTCTTCCGAGGTGTACCGTGCCTGGAAGTTGTCTAGACTCATGCTTGTATTGTACCGCGGGCGTTTCGTCACTGGCTCCCCGCGTGGCGTGTGTAGCGGTGTCTCGGATGCACCAGCACCGTAGGGCGTTGCGGACGGTGTCTGCCACGGTCGTCCGCGGTAGGTGGCGGGGGTACTGTTAACTTCCTGTAATCTACGCACGGATGCGTTGATCAAGTGGGGGTCTCTCGATGTCACAGCATCAAGGTATTCATTGGTCGCGTCGAGATGCACGAGAGAAGGGAAGAAGTCTCTCGCTATGATGTGAGACAAGGCTGCTGTGTACTCATCTTCTTCGAGCACTTGTTGAGAATTTAGCGAGCGAAATGATTCAGATGGACCGGGTGTAGACATTATACAGAGCGTGGGTAGTGATACTCGCGTACAGTCCAAATAGACTTCAGTCACTGTGCAGTGGACGTTCCCGAAGGGGAGAGCATTGTCATTGTGGTTACGTAAATGATCATTAAGAATAATTCACACAATTCCGCAGAGAAAAATAAAATGACAGATGGAAAGAAAAAAATACGAGCACAGATCGGCTGCAGAAATAAACAAGTAATGTATCATGGCACCAGCGGAAGTGGGGAGAAGCGCGAAGTGTCGCTGGTAAATGGGTATTCGTTCTGTTTGTGTTCATGAATGTCATACGAGGCATGGATCAGCAGGTACACCCTGCAGAATAGTGCGCGAAAACGAGTGAGCATGGGGTAGTGGTCTTCGAGACCTAAAATGCAAGATGCGTGTAGTCTAAACGTTCATCAGGGTGCGCCACTCCCAAGTCAGCATAGCATATCACAGACGGAAAATGAGAGATTCAGGAAGAAAAGTCAAGAAGCGCCGCCACGTCCAAAATTAAGCACGTTGCTCCCAGACCTGCCCCGAGGTTTCTTGTCAGGTTCTAGTAAACCGCTATTGTCCTGACTAGGAAGCTCCAATCCGCCGCTCTTCCATGCACCGGTGATACCCGCAGGTCGACCAATCCTGCTCTGTGACAATATCGAGGTACTGCTGGCGGAGGATGGGATCCTAGAGGATGCCCGAACTGTAACATTGGAGTGCGACAAAGGGAGCTGTGGTGGCGATCTCAAGTCCTTCTGGACTTTGCCACTGTATGAGAACGGTCGTTCACGATAGCGGAACTCTGAATCCGAAGAAGGCGTAGGTGACCCAGCATTGCTAGAACCTATAGAGGAACGTTTCGGTTGACTGTATGCACCGCCGTGCGGACCAGTCCCTGGTCCGGTGGACTTCTTGTAGCCAGTGACTGCTGGACGGGAGATCGGAATGGGAAGAAAAGTGGGAGTTGCGGGGCGAGACGAAGGAGTAGGGATGGAACTCATTGTTGCAGTAGTGCTGAGGCTTGCTCCGGAGAGGCGTGATTGAGGTCGACGACTATGGGACATTGTGCTTTGGCCAAATTGACTGGGCTTGGAAAAAATAGGAGATGATACCGATAAAGGAACTGCACAGCGAAAAGCGCTGGGGGGCGAGGGACTAGATGGGCGTCCGTGTTCCTTCTCAGAATCCTTATTTGGAGAGGGAGTAGTATCGTCCATAATGAGAACCCATCCTGAATTATCAGGGTTGGGAGTGGTCGCGCCACTCGCCAAAACAGTGTCTACGCCAAGCCGCTGTGGAGTCGGTCTTCCAAGTTTGTTGTCCGGTATCACAGAGCGTGTAAAGGTACTCTTGGTTGACAATGTAGAGGATATAGTAGATGTGGAGGCCATCGTGGACATTGTCGCTCCCTGCCGCCCAGCATTGCTGCCCATCCGTAAGCGAGGAACACGTGTATGAATCTTCTGTTCTAGATTCCTGACACGAGCACGCATTTCGGAAACCATTTGAACACCCTTGCTCCTGGATGCCATCATGGGTATGGCAGTGATGTTGGATACGCTGGAACTGGCAGTAACAGCGGCAGGCCGTGGGACAAGGGCGGGAGTCCGAGGAGAGTTGCGTGAAGCAGCAAGGGTTGGAAGGGTGTTCGAACGAGTCATTGATGAAGGTGAGGAAGTATTAGGGTTGTGTTTGCTCAACTGGAAACCTGCGCGCTGGAGTAAGACGGACTGTCCATAATTTGAGTTGGCAGCGGTAGAAGGCGGGCGGGTAGGGGTAGGAATAGAGGATTTCTCGTTGGAAGAAAGATCAGATAATTCAAGATCTGGCGGTGGCGGAGTACTAAGCAGATTGTCATCCGATGAAGCCGTCGAAAGAGGAGGGAATAGTGATGAAGCGGTAGTGGAACCCGAAGTTTCGGTCAAAATGCTCGGTGCCCTAGAGCGAGCAGCTATCAGCTGATCCTTGAGGATAGAAATTTCTACAGATGAATCTAGCAGAAAAGTGTAAGTGCTCTATCCCCATGCAGTTCAAGATAACATACCTCGTAGCTCATCCTTGACACGTTGTAGTTCTTCCTCCAAATTAGCCTTGTCAAAGAGTTCATGCTCGAGCAATATCTTTTCCTCCAGCGCCTTGGAATATCTTGCTTCTATGTCCGCCAGACTCGACGCGACCACGCGCTCATTTCTCTCGAGGTCATCATTGCCCAACTCCAGGTCGCGCAATCTGATCTTCAATTTCTGAGACTCCTGCCTGAGTGTATCTAACTCCCGTTGCAGGGAAGTAGTGGTTGTATTGTACGTGGTCTGTAGCGATATGAATTTGGACTTTGTGAAGGGTTGATTAGCGGACTGGGTACGGAAGACGCGTGGAGAAATACCTTCCATTCGTCTCGGTCTAATTCTGTCTTTGCGACCTTGACTTTGAGATCCTGTTGTGCCTTCTCTGTACGGTCTATTTCCTTGATTAACTCCTCCTCAAGCTCTTTACTAGAAGTGTGAAATTCATCGAGTTCAGCACGAGTCTCTGCCAGCATATCGGCGACCTCATTGTACTTCGCTTTCCAGTCCGTGGAGGAGTAGCTGTTTTAAGAACATTGTTAGGAAACCAGATTGAGTGTGGCAAAAAGAGTATGAGTACTCTAACTGGTTGTCTTCTAAGGAGGCCATTATTGGATCTCTGCGTAGGGCATCTGTAGGAGACAGAACGGCCGTCATGAACCCTGTAAAGAAATAAAGTACAACTTAGAAACACAACCACTAGAAAATATCAAAGGAGAAAGGAAAATTTGTGGAAACAGGAGAAATGCTTGCAATTTGGTTCTTGACTTGTACACTTCTGTGTAACATTTGGTTGACCCGTGCCACATTTTGATTACATAATGCAAAGATCTAATTTACAAAGTCTCAGGTTTCGCGCACTTGCGCTTTTCTATTCGACCTGTCTTAGGACACCTCATTTCTTGCCACGAAACAGGATCCATTGATGCCCCTAGATTGTCGGTTAGAACTCGTACACGATGGAACCAAGGACTCTTACCAGCTTCACTGGTGGCAAAAATGACACCGAGGTCGTTGCGTGCAGTAGTGATGTAGTAACTGCGAGCATCACCAAGAGAAATCTGCGATGATTGAGCGAATCATTAATTACCGTGTTCACTGGATTAACTTACCACTACACCCTTGACGACATCTCCCCACGAAAACAATCGCTGATCTTCACCTTGTCTTTCTCGGTAGCTCTAACATCTTGAGTGCGTATGACACCATTAAATTCTTCACCAGCCGGTAGAGGAACACCATCAACAACTGAAATGGATACCATCGCCTGCAAAGGTGACAGACGAGTGACGGTCCCTAGTACGACCGAATTTTCTGCCGGTGGATGTGCTCGTACGCGAGATATTGCCAGGGTCTGCACACATTGAAAATCGAGTATGATTTGATCGTCAAGAGAATTAACCAACAGATCCTTCGTAATGTGCGACACCAACTAGGCTCGCTCTAACTTGCCCATCTTTTAAGTATAAACCTCCTCCAAGTTTTGGTATTGGACCACGAGAGGGGGATACCGGTTGACCTGGGAGTAAGATATCGGATGCCATGGGAAATCAATTGATGAACCCGAAAGCGAGCAGCTGCCGTGGAACGATGTACAAGGGAAAAGTCGGGAGACCGGTATTAATTAAGTTAACTCGCGTCGTTCGATCGGGTTTGTCGTTATTTGGCTGTGACATACTTCAAAAATCTCAGCCCACTCTGACTATACTTCCGCTCTCGAGGAATCGTGTTTCTGCTCCTTCAGCAACAATGGCCTCCTCTTCTATCGCTCGCGTCCTTTCACGGCGTATGATTCTTATTTCTTCATGTTGCTCACAACTAACATCATAAATAGAGATGCACATTTCTGCACGGAGACATGCCCTGACCAAGTTCTCCATGCCTGCCATGAGTCCCACAATGACCGAGGGTGGTATCGCCTCCTGGAAAAAGGCGGAGGGTGAAACATTTGCCGCCGGTGACGTGCTGCTCGAGATTGTTCGTTCACCTTACCTTGTCCTCGCTTCCATTCCGTTCCTCATGTCTGTTTACAGGAAACGGACAAGGCTACCATCGACGTAGAGGCCCAGGAGGATGGTATTCTTGCCAAGATTATCGTACGTCAGCTTCAAGCTTCAAGTTTTCGTCCTCTCATATTGCCTTGCGCACATTTAGGCCCCGGATGGTTCAAAAAATGTCGCTGTCGGCTCGCCCATTGCTATCATGGCTGAAGAAGGCGACGACCTGTCAGGTGCGACTCAACTGGCTTCCGAGCCTTCAGCCGCACCTCCTTCCCCACCTAAGATGGAAAGCACGCCTGAGCCTCCCAAAGCTGAGGAGGCTCCCAAGCTTACTCCATCCCAGGCCAAGCCTGAGCTTGCCAAGGGCGAACGGATATTTGCATCCCCCATTGCAAAAAAGATCGCTTTGGAACGCGGCATCCCATTAGCTCAAGTCAAGGGCACTGGTCCTGAGGGACGCATCATCCGAGATGACATCGAGAAGTACCAACCACCCGCGACAGCAGCCTCAGCGGTTGCCGCCACTTCTTCAGCACCTGCCGCTTCCCTTCCAGAATACACAGACACCCCAGTCACAAATATGCGACGCGTCATTGGCTCACGTCTCACCCAGTCCAAGCAAGAGCTGCCACATTACTATCTTACCGTCCAGATCAACATGGACAAAACGATGAAGCTCCGGGAGGTCTTCAACAAAACACTTGGCGAGAAAGACAAAGCTGCTAAGCTCAGCGTCAACGATTTCATACTCAAGGCCGTTGCATGTGCGTTGAATGACGTACCCGAGGCTAACTCGGCATGGCTCGGGGAGGTCATCCGACAGTGAGTACTTCTGCGGACATAAATGTATCAGATCTAATTCACCTTGCCCTTAGGTACAAGAAGGCTGATATCTCAGTTGCTGTCGCAACTCCCACTGGCCTGATTACACCTATTGTGAAGGATGTCGGTTCTAAAGGATTGGCAACCATCTCTAGTGAAGCGAAAGCTCTCGCCAAAAAGGCTCGGGATGGCAAGCTCGCTCCTCAAGAATATCAGGTAAGTGACATACTTTCATGCCGACTGAATGAAATTCATTGTTTCGATAGGGTGGCACGTTCACGGTGTCCAACCTTGGCATGTACGATATCGAACACTTCACTGCTATCATCAACCCTCCCCAATCGTGCATCCTTGCCGTTGGCACCACGAAGCCAACAATCGTCCCAGCTCCTGAGGAGGAGCGTGGTTTCAAAACTGTGAACATGATGAAAGTGACACTGAGCTCGGACCACCGGACAGTCGATGGTGCTGTAGGCGCTCGCTGGATGACTGCGTTCAAAGGTTACCTTGAGAATCCACTCACATTCATGCTTTAAAAGTACAATGTTTTCGGGTCTTTGAGGTCTGCCCATTGTTTCTAGACTAGATTACATTCATTACATGCACGCGTTATTTTTCTGTTGACTTGCGTGATGAAAGCATATGCATAAAGCCTCAAAATTGTGCACCTGCGGGATTTATGCGCCCCCTAGTATTCAAGTTCTAGACTCATGGAAGTCGGAAGATGGTCCGACTCATTCAACCTTCACACAGCCGAAGTATTACTATCAGTACACCCCCTGAGGCTTGTTCGTGACCACTTGCTAATTCTTCGTGTTGCTCAATTTTCCTCCGAACTGATCGACGGCAGTTCTGGAATGGCGCACGATGGCAAATTCAACAAGTTGAATGAGTACCTCGTCGAAACTCTGGGGCAACTGCTCGAGGCGAAAAAGGAAGCTACTGTCATGCGCGAGAGACTCACAGCTTTAGAAGCAGACCTGACCGAACGCGACCGGCTGGACGCATTGAAGCAAAGTGAAAATGATGAGGTACGTAGGCGCGATCTCTTTGACGTTCCTCTCGCCCAATCATCTACAGCTTCGTGTCAGAAGCACGAAACTCGAGTTTGAGATGACGCAGTTGCAGAACGTGGTATGTCGAATACATATTGATCCGATTGCTAGTAGAATACTCTATGTACTGACGCGTTCGCCGTTGTTAGAATGCAGCACTACAGCTTGCAACGAAAGATCGCGATGCGTTACATGAACAATTGAAAGTGTCCAAGATGGATGTTACTAGGCAGCAAGAGAGGGTGATTTTGAAACTAAATGATCGATTCGACACAGCCTAACACGTGTTTCAGGCTAATACACTAGAGCAACGACTTCAGGAGTTAAATAACGAAAAAACAGCCTTGGCGCGTGAGCTTCAAGCAGCTGCACAGATTGTACGCGTGGATGTAGGACCATTTTTATCTAACATATCATCATATCACAGCAACTAATACTCCATGCAGATTGGCGTGAATACAAATCCTCTCCTAACTCCCCGTAGCACGCCCAATGGCGCCAGATTACCAGTCGTACTGGGGCCCTCGACAGCTGGTCCATCTCGTGATCGAAACTTGAAGGAAGAACAAGATGTTTCGATGGATATTTTTGCAGTACATCCTCCCTCTCAGCTACCACCTCCTCGAAAGCGAGCTATTGAAAATGCGCCGCAACTCATTCCTGACCTTGCGGATGGTGGAACTGTATGCTTTACAAGACCCTTTATAACAACTCATATTGGGGGAGGGTCGCAAGCTCTCATTTCAAAGTAGGCTCTTAACTTATGTGTTTGATCAATCTTGATGGCTTCAGCTTATGAACTCTTCAGCATCGCAACGCCAAAGTCTCTAGCCCTAAAATTCGGTATAACAAGCTACCTTTGCCCGAACTTGTGGGAGAATCCTTGGTGTCCAACAAACCCTGGCATGGCCGGGTACATGTTTGTTGGCTTAGGGGAGGAGATTCATAACTTTGTTCAGCCGGAGGTACATGAACTCTTTGTTGGGGTTGAGAAAACCAAATACAGACTTATGGGCCGGTATCGGGCCCATCGTGTTGAACCCTTGACTGTTGAGGAATGGCTGACGCTCTCGGAGAAAGTAAGTATAATTAGCCTCGAAGTCATCCGAGTCACTCTTTAATTTTGGCCTATCAGGTTCGATTCAAGTACTGCGAAACCACACAACGAAAAGCGAAAGACTCACGTTCCGTCGAGGGCATAAAGGCTGCTTATGAGCGTGGTGAACTTCGTGCTCCCTGCGTCAAATTGACATGTCTTGATTTCAAGGAGGACCTTTACAAGAAACTGAAGGCACGAAAAATGGGACAGAACAACATCAACCCCTCGTCATCTCAGCGTTTGATTAAACAGGAATTGCCTGTTACACGCTCGTCACAAAAACGCCGCCGCATTGAAGAGATCATCGACGTTGACGAGTCATCCATGGACTCTGACAGCGATTCTTCCGAATACTTAGGGTAGTATTAGATACCTACTTACATAATTCGCATCAATCGTTCCGAGTCATCGTCGACGGCGACTAGTACTGCATACTCTAGTCTACAAGGCCTAATAACTTTGTATCATAGCTTCGATTCCTTTTTCCTGTGACTGTACTTTTGCCAGACCTTGAAGCACGAGAACTAGATAGACATCTTGAACAATGCCAGGCCGTCGTCGCGAGTCTCCGCTCAAGAATCCAAGTTGAGATTAATGTGTTTCATAACGAACAACACTCACCGACTTCGTCAGGCAGGGCCTATGTCGCACTGGGATTAGAGGGGTCAGCTAACAAACTCGGTGCAGGAGTCATCAAACATGCTGTCGACGGATCGACCGAAGTGCTCTCTAACGTTAGGCACACTTACATCACACCTCCTGGGGAGGGATTTCTTCCCCGAGATACTGCCCAGCACCATCGGGAATGGGCGTTAACGGTGATTAAAGATGCAGTTGCAAAAGCTAATATTACGATGCATGACCTCGACTGTATATGTTATACCAAAGGTTAGCTGAATCCCTTTTGAAGTTTCGTGTTTGAATGTTCCTCCAGGCCCTGGGATGGGTGCACCTCTGCAGTCTGTTGCTCTAGTTGCTCGCACCCTCTCATTGTTGTACGAGAAGCCCCTTGTTGGTGTCAATCATTGTGTCGGACGTAGGTATATCCAATCACGGTGTGCGACTTTCACTGATGCTGTCAAACAAGATATTGAAATGGGACGGCAAGTCACTGGAGCTCAGAATCCAGTAGTACTATATGTGTCTGGTGGCAACACACAGGTCATCGCATATTCACGGCAATGCTACCGGATCTTTGGAGAAACACTCGATATAGCTGTTGGAAACTGCCTTGACAGGTTTGCCAGAGTGATAAACCTGAGCAACGACCCAAGTCCAGGATATAACATTGAGCAAGAGGCGAAGAAGTGTTTTACTTTTTTTCTGTTCATGGTATTTTCATTGACCTGGCGTACAACCAGGGGAAAACGACTCGTCCTGTTACCTTACACTACCAAAGGAATGGATGTTAGCTTGTCTGGCATACTGACTTCGATCGAAGCCTACACATCTGACCGTCGGTACCGGGCTCAAGGCGAACCTGATGAAGAGTCAGAAGATGTTATCAGGCCCGCGGATCTCTGTTTCTCCCTTCAAGAGACGGTGTTCTCCATGCTTGTTGAAATCACAGAACGAGCGATGGCTCATATCGGGAGTAGAGAGGTTCTTATCGTCGGAGGAGTTGGCTGTAAGATATTTGTTCTAACCCGTTATGGCCAACCTGATTTATCCACCTGAAGGTAATGAACGACTGCAGGAAATGATGGGCATCATGGCACAAGAGCGAGGTGGATCGGTGTTTGCAACCGATGAGCGGTTAGTTTTTTGAAGCACTAATGACATGGTTTTCTTATTCACGAACTTGTAGTTTCTGCATTGATAACGGCATCATGATTGCTCAGGCTGGTCTACTGAGCTACCGCATGGGATATCAGGACACCTCTTGCAAAGAGCACCTGTACACAAAGGTCGGTGCCTCAATATTATGGAGTCGTCTTGCAGAAAGTAATTTTGTATTCAAGATTCCGGACTGACGAAGTGCATGTCGCATGGCGACCCTGAACGTGTGAACCCCGACCTATTTTACATTAAAATATCGTCAGTATCTGTCTGTATTGTTACTGTGCAACGTTCGCCAGCACCAGCTTCCAGTCCTCAGGTTCCCCTTTCATCTCTTGGCCGAGTTGCTCTAGCCTCTGCCACCACCACCTGTGACTCTTTGCGTATTCTCCTGTATCATCTTCAGATACCCTGGTTTGCCAAGGCTTGTCGGCCAAAATGTAGTGAAGGCATCTGATCTCCTCGTCTCTCCACAGCGGTTTGTGAATTAACATCAATGTCTTGAGTGCATTGTAACACCATGGAAGAGGTTTCCACTTTCCTCTAAATAAATCTGACAGGAGGTCTTGGTCTGGGAATGACCAAGTTGACACTAGAGGTGAAGTGTAAAGGTGGTTGCGAACAGTTTCTGCAAGAGCCAGGGAAGGATTGAGAACCACGATGCCGGAGTTTAGCTGAGTGTGGGGACGCGGGCTTGCTTCTGTAATGAGCACTGGAGTAGTTAAACCAGAGGGGTGGATTAACGGAGTATATGCGCAATTCTCGGGAACCCTGGAAGACTAAATATGAGGTATTATAATGGCAGATAAGTCAAATGGCATACCAATCAGCAGGATAGTGGGGCAGTTTGCGTGGGTTACAAGCACACACATGTGCAGAAGCTATCCAATTGTTTGGGAGATCGATGTCAAATAACTCATCCATATTGCGCATCACAATCATATCGGCATCCATGAGGACGACGCGCTATGCTCAAAACACGTGTAAGTCATGAACACTACAAAATCTGAACCAGATACTTCATATTCCTTCAGTTCGAATGCTCTTTATCTTGCAATGAGTGGTCCATCAGTTCCATAATTGATCTGCACGCACCTCAGCTTCGTCCATGTATCAGCGAATCTTGCGTCGTGCGTCGAAAGTGAATGCTTTCCCTCTGGAGGGCGCAGCGATTCAACAGGCCTCATGGAAATTCCCCTTCGCTCTAGAACACTCCGAACATCCTGGGGTAGCGTAGGAGTGACCATGACAATAAGAGGGTACGCAGATTCCACAGATCTAAGGGTACAATCGAGCACCAGAACGCCAGGTAAATAGCTAGTTGCTGTGAGTAGAGTCACATAAGCCGCCCTTCTAGCCATCGCGATTGATATTACTGGGGAAAGGGAAAGGAGCGACGGAGCCAAGATAAAGCGGATTGATAATTGCTCTACCCAAAAGATGAGACAGTCGGAGGTTACGGCCCTACTTAATTACTGATAGCGCATTTTAGATCAATCTGCACCCGCGTTTTCGCACATGTATTCAATTACCTTGGCGCTAAAACTTGAAATGGCCTCGCAAGGATTCGAGGGACTCATGCAGAGGGATACGATGATAGAGACTCATCGCGAGAATAACATGGGGATTTAGCACAAACAAGCCACCACACAAATTTTGAAACCTACCGTGACTGAGCTTCACGCTCACTTTCCAGATATCCATCCCCCTCCCACACAAGGGACCCTTGGCGATGAACCTGATGCCAGAAGTTGAAATCGTTGAGGACGTTCGCGAGTATACACATCAACTTTGATAACCTTAGGGAGCTCAAAACCAGCATTTTTCGGGCGGCAGGCACTTCAGGCAGCGGGCGCTGTGTGGCGGCGTGATGGTCGAGAAGTGGATGGGCAGGTTTGTCATATAAACTCTGCTTCAATCACCCAGATTTGATCCCAGACACAGACTTGTAGTCCGCCCGGACATGTACCCAAACCGGCCGTATCTTCAGCACAATCGTTCGAGGATTGTATATGTTAGACTTCGCTACCGCAACATGAGACCTCGCGTGTATGATCTTGGCATGGGGTCCAAAATCAAGCTCAAGTTTAGGGTCGAGCTAGAACGAGGTGTGCAGGCACATTTCAAGCCACGGTGTTCAAACTCCAGCCCTGTTAGGGTTCCTTAAATTACTTGGAACAAGTAGATCAAGGCCGCTCTTGGCGTCCCTGCTCTCCACTCCCACCTTGAGGGCCAGGCTGTCATTTCTGTTTCGCAGATAATCGAGTTACTCATATTCTCATACATGTAAGATAGGGCACCTCGCCGATCACGGTTTCTGCCTCGAAAACATCGTAACTATGTCCATGCAAGAGATCACTTTGCCACACGAACATCAACATGTTGGGATTTGCAAGTCCTTCGCTTATTCCGAGGTTTGACCTTAGGTCATTATCAAGTTTATATGAATGGTGATGGGGCTTCATTTGATGTTTTCCACCTATTTCGGGGTAGACAGGCACCGCCAATGCTACCTAACAAGAGGGTCGGACTGACAGTATCTAGCCCAAGAACCAGTAACAATCACCGGTGACGCAGGGTGACCCTTCAAGTTGTCAGCCGTGTGATTGTCGATATACCTACGACCTTTCCGTCGGTAGCGAGTTATCGAGGACAGTGATTTGTGACATCAAATGGAAAAGTATGACCCAAACTCGGCACAATGTATGTCGTACAATTTTCATTAGGATACCACAAGTTCACAACCCTTAGAGGTCAATGAGATTCCGATGTGCCCTATAAGTATCGTACGTTGGTGATCAGCAGGCAATCCATCCCCCACTCTCTGAATTCGCCATTCAATCTGCACATTTTCATGTCAGGACTAGAAGAATATCTCTTTGCTCTTGACTGGAATAACAGCATATCGGGTTCGTCAGAGCTTGTTGAACATGAATCATTGTGCTGAACTTAGTCATTTCCAGTTGCAATCATTACCCTGATATCCTATGATTACGGTCAGTAGCTTTCATGAACCCTGTAGTACGGTTGAGCGTAATATCACCTAGTGCTTCAGTTTGGGAAAGAGGTAAGGAGGGGGTTGTTTCGTTGTCTTCAAGTACTCATGATCATATATCGCAGGTCACGTTCGTTTGGGTTAGAGTTCAACCCCAATGATATGAAGTTCCGGAGCTGACCACTTATGCAGAAAAGGCAATGGTCAGTGATGACATATTTATACCTTGTTGTGAGCTCCACCCTGCCAAAGTGCTTCATGGTTCCCCATTTTCGTTGCTATGTCAGGTTCGATATTTTGGTATTGTCATTGCAATGTACGTCGCGGTGTTTGTATCCTTCGGATGGTACGTTGGATGTTAACGCTGACGTCTAGGATTTGCGCCACCTGTACGTGACGTGATACCAAATGAGCCATCATTGACTGACCAGGACTAGGGGGAGGTCTATTTTATATACCTGAAGTAGTGAGTATATTGATTCTTTCTTCAGAGGGTTTTAGGTTGACCTAGATTCAGCCGTACGTCAGAAGTTCGTTTTACAGCCAGCCTGATCTGCTGCTGACCTCTTGTTTAGTTGTGAGTATATCGTATTCAACTGAAACTAGCTTTGCTTATCATCAAATTGAAATAGGTTATGGTATATTTGTGTTCATGCAATGGGGTTTTTCTGCATATTTTTGCTTGGCGGAAGGTATGTCGTATCCATACAGTCTCGCACCTTCGCACTTCCCATTTTTACATTTGCAGTCATCCTCGTCTGGCGTCTTTACGCCCTACATAACCAATCAAAGCTCATACTTTATGTTCTACTGGGGTTGCTCCTACCTATCGTCGCGCTCTATATAGCGGTGGATGCATTTTTATGGAGCCGACCTTCGGCGATCTCAGGTAAATTTCTATTTTGATTGAATTCTTTGCAAGCTGATGCCTGTTGTACAGTGCAGGAAATCATAATAACCCCAGATATCAAGTACTGCACGGCTTTCTTCCACATCGGGCCTATGCCTGCGATCTACGCTTCCATCCCCGTCATATGCTATGATATTTGCTTGGTTGTTCTCGCCATTACCGTCCTCAGGAAGCACCTGAAAGAACGACAGGAATGTAAAATGAAGCCTAACACCTACGTGGTGATGATCGTCCGATATCATGTCTTATACTTTGTCCTGTAAGTTCCCTTCGTTTGTTGTGCTCCCTGAAAGCATTCATTGAATCATGCTAGGAATTTGGCGACTCAAATCTTCATGGCGATAGTATGGGCCCACCTTACGGTATGATTTTTTGCCATTCCACAGAGATATGTTCTAATGTATGCATGCAAAAGACGGTGATGCTGAGTTTCGTACTATTTTTCAAGGATACCGCGCCATTGATTATCGTGCCACGTCTTATCATCAGCATTTGGGATACGCATGCTAATGAAGACTGTGTACAAATCAGTACGATGTTCGAGAATTGTGTCTGTTGGACTCTGCCAACGGAATTGGAGCAGCCCGAGGTTGACTCTCGTGTATGATTTTCCAAATTGAGGAAGGAGGTAGAGTGAGGTCCGTACTTGACCCCAACTAGCGTATGTCTCAAATGCCTATTCAACTAAATACTTGTCTCTAGACTCGATAGAATTAGTGGATGTAGATTTCTGGTAGATACATTTGCGCATCCTTGCCACGGTTTTGGAGTTTTGCACTATGCAAGATTTGTTTTGGGAGAGAGGCCCTTGACCCTGTGACCATATGGGCAGATATTCCCACGCATAAAAATGCGGGCCAGGCAGAGCTACAATAGCTGCCAGCAAAAAACTGGCCCACACACCCATATAAATACCACTTGCTATTCACAAATACTTGATAATGAATCTGATGCCCAGAATGTTAATAACAAATGTTGCGATCGGGAGCGTCGGACTAGGAATGAGGGGTATGAGCATATTCGACGTACCTGGGTATGACATTGGCCAAGGCTTGCATTTTCATATGTTTCACAATGATATCTTTTCTCTCTGAGTTTTACCGTTTTACCTTATATTAAAAGAATGTTTGCATCATAGAAACATTTCAGTCCTTTTACCGAGACTGAGATGTGAGCCTTATGTTTTTCATTCCCTCATACACGAGCTAACATTACCATTAGAATACATTCTCTTCTACATCAGCAAACTACTTTGTTCTGTACAGAACTGTACAGAGCTGTACAGCATGCAAGATGCACAGCTTGGTCCCTTCTGTACACTTCACTACAATAACACTTCATTCTGTTAGTTCCTGTACAGACTACTACAGATACCTACTGAAAATTGTGTCATGCGCAATATTTCGAAACTGTGATGAAAAATATTGTGTGCTACTGTCCAGTAGCACACCAACCTGTAAAGCTGTACTGTTCTGTCCACACATGTAAAAGATGTACACAACCAAATGAATATATTGAATCACAGATAACACGGAAACACAGATGCAGATACTACTAGTAATAATGACGAATGTGCGAACGCTCGAGAGAATGATGATCGCAAAATAGTGGTCGGAATCTAATCAAGCAGGACCCGCAAATGATGATGCTTTGATGTGTCCTTGCCGTCAACTCCGCAGGATTGCGCCCTGCATGGATTTAATTAGCGAAAGACTTCCGTTTATTTTGAAAAAAGTTTCTTACCATCCTTCTGCAGCCCACTCATGAAGCTGTCGTGTCAACTTAGGGCCGTGATACGCATCCTTCATGACATTCTTGAGTTCAACAACCATCGAGCAATAGACAGAGGAGTAGTCTTTGGCAGTAAACTTCGGAAAATACTTGCCACTGCCATTCTTGACTAGCCCGTCAAAGACACAGTTGTACTACAAATTTGGCGTCAGCGCATTATTAATAACATAAAATATATATAAAAAGTACCTGCTGACCTGCACCAAACCGGTTCGGTGCATGGACGACTAATACTCTTTCATGAGTCATATACCCTGAAATACCATTATGAAATCCTTTTCCTTTTATCTGAAGTTGGACTGAGGCTAAGGGAATATTTTTTGCTTTTCTTTTTATTTTTCAAGTCTGTATGCCAGCAGCCTGAATATTTTAGTACATTTAATTCTGCGATGAGTTTTGCTTAGTCAGCCATGGTGATGACTCAGACAAAATCCCACGCATGTCAGGTGACTGTGAAAAATATTTCCCACATATGTTGTCCTGGAAAAACATTAGTAAACCCCTAAATACTAGGCTCGTATCATTTTCACCCTTCAAGCAAAGCAAAGCAAAGCAAAGACAGCCACACACAGGATTCATATCATGTGACATTTCTTATTCTCTTTCTGGATTTGTCATCAGGGGTTAGACAGGTCACATGACTTAGCAATACCCAATGACTCACTATGACTCACTCTAAATACTTACTATGACTCACTATGACTCACCTTGCATATATGACTCATTATGACTCTTGATGACTCTTGAATACACTAGTAGCACAGCCACATTTATTGTGTATATAATGACCCCAGTTTTTGAAATAATAACAAGCGAACAGCAGCAGATAGTAGGGTGTTTTTCAGCCCATCCAACACTAAGTTGTGAGTAAGGTGTGATAAGTGTCAGTACCAGTGTCAAGAACTGTCTTAAGACTAAGAGGAACATTCTCAAGAGACAGTAATACTGCAAGCTCATCATACTGAACGACCAGCTGTGAGCTCACTGTGTGCAACAATCAACAAGCAAGGTACAGCCACAGTTATATTCTGATTTCTATTATTCTTTTTCTTTTCTTTTACTTTCACCAACCTTTGGTGGTCTTTGTCCAGAAATATATTTCCAAAATATTCGTGTTGTCTCTACGTCCACCTAAGACTCAGAAGTAGCATAGTGGGGAGACTTTAGGAATTGATAGTGAAGCTTGACCTCACTCATCTGAGTAGTGATACTGAGCCAAGATATTCTGTGCCTGCTAGGCTTTAGCTGTTGAAGAGGGGACTTGGTAGTAAACCCAAGGACGTCCGTTCCTGAGTCTGTTTGAATACTCAAAGAAGAGTTCCTTGACAGCACATTCAATATTGAGCTAAGAGTTCTACAATAAAGCATTTGATTAGTCTTGACCTTTGATTCTACCTGTTTTGTGCTGAGGGGGTTTATCATTGTAATTCTGCACCATTTCTTTGGAGTATAGTTGGTATGAAGCACTGTTGTTGAAAGGGAACTTGAGGAAGAATCCTGTATATTCTTTTGGTCATTGCCATACTGTCGGGCTGACCATTGTTTGTTTGTTTTCCTGTCAAAGTCCATAGATTGGATTGACCATCGTATTACTGATCTTGCAGAAGTATCCTTAGCTGAACATACCTTGGGTAGTATACAACTAGCCACCCACAAATGACCATGTTATCAGTCATTGGTATTTGTCTGAATCACTGACCATGGAGATATTTGTTTTATAGGTGTTTATCTATAGATCATCTATCTAAGAAGACACCGCAGTGCAAACCAAAGCCAAAGACTGCAAAGGTAACTCCTCTTTGAAGATATCGGGTCTCCTGTGAGCGATACAATAGGAACCAGTGTAGAAGAAAGTGATGGCGGCTGCCTTGAGTGCAGGGTGAGCAGCATTGTTAGTTTTCCCAAGCTCATCTACACCATTACGAAGAAACAAAGACTTGTCCAACAGTTCTGTGGCAGTGTTCTCGACCCAGGCAGTGCGAGCTTGAGGGGGTACTTCAGCTGAGGGGATGAGGTTATACATGGAGGGCATGATGCTGATAGCTATCTTCTTGAGGTTGGAGCGCCAGGTTGATAAGTCTTCATATAGCTAAATAATAGTGCATGAGGGATTGAACAAGCGACAATGGACATACTTACCAGCTTGGCCATATCGGTCTTGTGATTGGGCCATATACCTAGTTGACCTCATGAGCGAGATACATCGAGGAAAGCAAAAACATACCCGCTTCCACCTCATTACCTGCTTCAAGCCATTCTACGAGTGATGTCGTGAGTGCTTCGGTGACTGAAAGAGGCAAATCCTTGATGGAGTCCAGGAAGGCATTCTCGATCGCGTGCTGGGCACAGCACTCTGCTTTCACCTCCTCAAGGAAAGTCTTCCACTGTGGAGGATACCAGCCAAGTTGGGTCAGCTTAGGGCCTTCAGTCAATTCCTTGGACTTGGCTAATTTGACCTTGTTGGCCTTAACGCCCGAGTTGCGTGACTTCGCATTGATGGGTTGAGTCTCTTGGCAATGAATGAGACCAAGCATTGCGGGGTCAGGGAGGCGTGGACATTCATTTTTCTTGTGATGACGCTGTAAGACATCGTCCGGCTTGGTAGGCTTCAAGAAGTGGTTAGCGAACTCTTTGAAATCAGAAAGAACATACCTCATTCATAGCATCGTCACTACTGGAGATCTCATCGACTGCTAACAATCCCATTGCAACATTCTCATCTTCATCTCACGAATGATGGAATTCAAAATCAGAGGGTCGAGTGATAGCCTGAGGTTGGGATACTGATATTCCTTCCTTTGAAAAGCCTGTAACTCGTTAGTGACAGATATAACTAGTAAATAATCTTGTACCGGGATGCATGCTATGACACCCATGGTCTCCTCCCCAACCAATTTCGCTGTCGTCATTATCACTTTCTTCATTAGCGTCGCTTTCATCAGCATTATCAGTAGAGGGAGTGTCATCCTCGGATGTTGAGACATCAGCTTGAGCTTCCTGGCCAATGGACGGGAGGGAGGCACCGCAATGACTAGATTCACCTTGTGCTTGCTGACGAATTGGCTGGAGAGAAGGATCTATATTTGCGTATAAGTCAGCTTGCGAATGTGGCATCATGTTAACTGAGGTCGTCTTCGAAAGATCTGGTTGCAACAAAATGTTAACGTGAGTAGTGGCGGGCTTCTGACCAGCGCTCTTGGCAGTGATTGAAGAGGTATTGAGAACTTGCTTTGTGTGAGAAGGGACGATAGGTGGACAGAACCCGAAATGTTCACCATCGTCGCGTTGTACAAAGCTTGGTTGATTGGGTGCCTTGACGCTGGAGGCAGCAATGTTCTTGATAAAAGAGTTAAAAAATAAACAGTTAGTCTACAGAACTACAAAAGAGAAGCTAACCTTGGCTTTTTTGCCTTGTTTTCTTGAAGGTGGAGCGCTGAAATCTACCACTGGCTGGGAGGCGCTATACAGTGGAGGAGCCTTCAACATAGTATCATACTAATTAGTAACATTTCTTATGAGTATAATAAAAGTTACCTTTGAGCGACTCCCACGACCCTTGCTAGGTGGTATTGGAGTGAGAGGGTTCACAGGAGCGTTTGAATCAAGGGTGGTTGAGCCTTTTGGTTTGGTTGCCCGCCCAGGCGCATCCAACAAGGCACCAATTCTCTTAAGCTGACTATTCCTACCCCCCTTCCCAGCACCTGCACGATTAGTACATCAAAGGTTCGAGTTGTCAACCACATCCAAGTCAGGGATTGACTGTGGGGGCTTTGCTGGTAGTGACGTGTCAGCCTGCGATCGTGACCGCTTTGCTTTCCCTTCAATGAGTGTCTTCCCAAGATCAGAATCTGCAGCTTTACGCTTTGTCTTCTGTTTCTTGGGACTACCACGAGCACGTTGCGCAGGCATAGAACTACTTGTAGTAGAGCTGGGAATATAACAAGAGTGGGAAGCCTCCGAGCAATATTCATACTAAACACTCACTTTTATCCTTGGGCTTCGTGTTGTAGTTCGGTGGTCATCGCAGGTGATTTTCGGATGTATGAGTCGAGTTGCTTGCAGGTAGCAACGTGCTGATCGGCGTTGAGTCACAGAAGTTAGGTGATGCGGGAATCTCACATGGCTCTGACTCGGCATGGATGACTCTGACATATAAAGTACATATGGAGACATACATTGTAGCTAGTGAATAATTATGTAGGTACGAAGCATTTCGGAACAGAAAATCTATGGTCGCCTACAGTTGTATTAATATCATGTAGATCGAGTCTTGTTCCGCTTTGACGGCCTGATGGGCACTGCAGCTTCCATCGTCATGTTGCCTCCAGCTGGCTTCATGTGTCTGGTCATGTCATCAGGTAACTCAGTAACTCCTAGATCTACTGCACGTGCGGGATCAGAAGCATCTCCAGTTGGCTGTTTTCGCTTGAGGATTGTTCTGGCAAATAACAACTCAGGAGATGGTTCGTCCTTTGGAAGCTCTGCATGATGCCTATCCAACATCTTGAGCACAGCATCAAAGGGTACTGAATCCGGGTTGTCATTGTTCCTCATCAGCCCATACCATTCCTTCGCGAGTGGAACGAGATTCTTGAAGTAGGGATGAATTTGTGTTTCGAGCTTCTGCAAATCCTCCAAGTGGAAAAAGAACCCTGTCTTGGCTTTGTCACACTCCGCATGAGAGTTAGTGGACCATGCGCGTGGTAGCCATTCGGATCTATGGTCCCTTGGCTTGAGAACCCGTTTCATCCCGAGGGGACCCCTGAATTCGATGCAGATCCAGGCGAAGACGTAAAAGAGTGACTCGAGATCATCAGCAAAAGTATGTCTGATGAATTTAGTCAGTTGTGGTCTCGAACGTGAAGCTTTCTTTCGAGTTCTCTTCTGTGCAGATGTCACAGGAATGGCATCCGAGAGCTGGTGAAGAAGCTTCTGCGACATGAACAGTACTGTGCCCTGGTCAGTTTGTGAGCAGGAGTTTATCAAAAACAGTGTCAGGAAGTTAAACACTGACCGTACCACCAATAGGGTAGCGATTGCCCTGAAGAATATGCACAGCAAATTCCCAGTCTATCAACGTGCCATGGGAGCCATTGCCATCGTCTTCGATCATAGTGTTGTTAAGGCTGCAATCTCGATGCAGAATACCTCGCTCTTCAACCGCTGTCTTTTGAACTGGAAAGAGGTAAGTCAAAAATTTGTATATCATAGCATGGCGTGTACTTACTGATAACAATATCCCGGATCGCACTCACTAACTCTGCCTTTGTGCGAAACATATGCAATGGTCGCACACAGGGCTTCAAAACTAGCCGGACATGAGTGCGGAAGGTACCTGCTATACTCTCCATTGTTGTATAGCGATACTTCTCTGTTTTGTCAACCTCCCCAGGTGCGATCTCGATGAGCCAGTGTTCAATGAGTTCAGGTACGCCACAGACCCCCTTCATGTTGTTCAACATGGTGACCTTGTTCAACACGTCCTCCTTACTCCCTAAAACCCAATGATCTTTTATTTCAGCTCTGGAAGAGGTGCGAGGAGGGGATCTACAGGAAGGAGCATAGGGAGACCTTCATGGAGGAGGAGTTCTTCAAGGGGAGGGTCTTTAGGATCTTCAAGAGTGTCAGGCGGGAAATCTTCTTTGGACAGAACCAATGGCTCAGGACCCTCTGATATGGGATCATCTGCGCTTTCCATTGGCACACTCTCAAGGATGGTAGGCATGTTCTCATTCTGTTGGTTAGGATCGTGTTTGGTGGCTCCGGTGGTAGGGTGAGTGAAGGTGGAAGATTGTTGGAGCTGGCCAGGCTGAAGTGTCTTGGTAAAGATATTAATGGTAGGATCATACCCAATGCACTCGAGGCTGCCGAAAACGATGCACGAGAAGGTATGTGAGAATCTGTCTGGATCCCGGTCAATATTGATGCAAGGGGTTACGATACCACCTGAGTGGTCATACAGGTGCACACAAAGATCTCAATATCCATTGCAAACCGAGAGGAGCAAAACAAAGTGTCTCCAGGGCTGGTGCCTTAAAAGAAGGTACACCTTGCTATCGATAGTCTTTGCAATAGTAGAGGTAGGATGGTACCTTAGGAACATCAGCTCACATTTTTTGCACAGGTAGATCAACAATCAACGTACTTTTGGGATGTCAACTCACATACCGCCTTGATCGTATCCCACCTAGCCTCCACATCATCTAGTAAGGCCAGGTCAGGTTTGCGCTTGATTTCGTCATCTTTGACTGGGCGCGTGGAGTTCGCACTGCTCCATGTGTGTACCACTCCACTGGGATTGAAATGGGTGAGTTTTTCATTTGCTGCAGCGAGGGCAACGGCAACAGCATTGAAGAACCCTGCGAAGTTTGTCTCATCATTGTTTGATGATGGCATTGGTCCAGCCAGCGCTGTGCCAACATCAGGCGAGTTCTTGCCGAGGTCTGCCAGTGAGTCGTCATCTATGTCGACTGCTACATCCTCGTTGTCATCCCCTTTGTCTTCTTCTTCCTCGTCCTCTGCATCCTCTCTGAGATCCTGCCCACTTTTGTCAGGTGACTTGCTAGCACGCCGCTCATGTGTCGGAAGCGCCCAGTTCCAACAGTGATTCACAGTATCGTACAGTGACACTGACTCGGTTTCGCCCTTGTTGGTGAACTTTTGATTGATCCTGGGATTACGAAAGTAGAGGGGTATTTTATTTAAAGAAACAGTAAGCGAGTTTGCAAGGGGAATTGTAGTGCTAAAGTTTTTGAATATCAAGGAAAGTACATGACTGAGGTGCCCATTATTGACAGGATCAGGTTCCTGTACAATTAAACCATCGAGTTCCCTTTCAGTGAGTACATCCATGATAGGAACATCGTTAATCTTGGGTGCAGACATCAGAGATGATAGCTTCATCCCATAGTCTACAGATCGAGGCTGGGGGCATGCACGTGGCATGGTTGTTGAGAGTGAACAATGACATGCTAGCAAGCACAGCACTTTGCACCATAAGTAACAAGATTCGTCCCATTGAGGATAGATCATCTACACATTACTACACTGATAAAGGAAAAAAAGGTATTTTTATCCCAAAAGTGATTTAACCAGAACTCCGATGCGTGTTCCAAACTATTATATGCAGTGAGACGCATGTCCGCAATAGCGCCAAAGTGCGGAACGAGATTGACAGGTGCCCTCAATTGAGAGACAGGTACAACATCCCCCATATGAGTCCCATTAGATCGTTTTGCTCTCTTGAGCAAATACAGCTGTGTGGTCGGGTCGCGATCACCAGAGATATTAAAGCGTTGAACGTAGGTTAAAAACTGATTTTTCCATGTCGAAGGGGTGCCACGTTTGGCAATGGGATGCATGATAAGTCGAAGCTGTGCTACAGCGTGACCTGAGGAGATAGGGATCAGATGATATTGCAGCATTAGACAGTACAGACAGGGGCTTACCTGAAAGGCCACTAGTTGGCCAAGAGTACCCTGCTTCAGTCCAGACAATGACTGTATCATAATGACCCAAGTCCAGGGGCCACCAGGTGGTGCACAGTTCAGTGTCTGAGCAGGTCGAATACGACAAGGATCATGAAATTCCATGTCTTGAAGATGAATTTTGATCCAAACTTGAAGTTTATCAAAGGGAAGTATGGCCATAGGTCCAGCTCTTCTAGGACCGCCTATCGGATGAACGTGATTGTATCTAAAGGTGGCCTCATGTTGAAGATAATCAGCAATAGCTGATCACAGATCAGGAAGACCAAACCTGTCCGCAATTTCATCAACAGTGACATTCCTAATGGCGGGATCATAGGAAAGATGGAAGGCCGTGTGTTTGACGACAAATGAGCGTAGAGGTAATGGTACTGAATCTCTATGCTGGAGCACCTTCGCAATAGAAAAATAGTTGGTGATGGGACGTGAGTGTCCAGATGAATGGATCACAGACAAACGCTCAATAGTACTTTCGTCAGCGTCAATGTCTACATCGCCATCTTTGGGGTCTACGTCGACATCTTGCACTGGAAAACTTTGAGCACAATCTAAAAGGTTGGTGGCGAGCTCAAATCGATGACACTTGTCGGCTCGGTCGAGATGATGACAGATCTGCGGATCATAGTTGTTGTTGTTGCTAGATCTTGCGGGGTCCTTAATCTCCAGTGATATGTGCGTGTTCGGTGATGTCTGCAGTCCATTGGCTCGGAACTGTCGCTGTTGCGAATGCTGGGGACAATACTCTGCATCAATTCAAGCTTGGGTATATGCCAATTATCAATGATATTATTGTGTTGCCCCCGGCGAGCCCCAGTAGTGATAATCATGTCCTTCTTTGCATGGAATTCATCCAGTGCACTGGAGATAAGCTTAAGATCATTCTTGTCAATGCATGTCGACTGCACAAGGTAACGGAATTGCATGAGTGCGCTGTAGAGACTCATGCCTCTCATGGCATGATATGGCAGTTTCCACCAAGGAGTACATAGCACGAACTTGTAGCGTCACTCCGTGCACTACCCACAGCTATCCCTATATGAGGCGCAGCTTTCCCGCGCAACGTGCGCCATGCGCGCACACTTCCTGCGCTTCGCGATGTATATGCGCGCGTGCTTTCCCGCGCTTGAGCGCCCTATAGCGCTAGCCATCCAGAAGCATCCATCCACTGTCCACCAAGCTCCCTAGTGCGTATATTTCCATTTCCTTTATTAGCATATTGTTCCACCTTTATTTTTATCATGGATTCTCACTCATATATATCTTTACATACCTACTCGGTAGCACTTCGGCTCCACATTACAGCGCTTAGGCGCGCTATATAAGCACCAGCAGTACATAGTACTACTCACTTTCCAACCTAACTTTGGACCTCACTTTTCCTACCTTTAACTTACTTTTCCTTCAACTGACTACTTACTACTCACTTACTACTTAGCAGAATATAGTAGAAATCTATTCCTTTACATCTCGCATTCTCACATCTCTATCTTGCATTATATCATCACTTGAGTCTAGTCTCTCTATTGTTTCTGCATACGCGCGCGCGCTTTCCCGCGCTTCGCGCTAATACGCGCGCGTGTTCCCGCGCCTTGCGCGCACCTGCACTTTCTCACGCCTCGCTTCAGCACGTACCTCTAGATCTTCGCTGCACTCACTTCCCTTTAGGGTCAAACGCGCTTGTCTCCTCAAGTAACACAGACTAGGCAACGCACGACCTACATCATTTTTTTAGATACAGTCAGGAGCATCATTTGTTCCTCTCTGTATTGTTGTTTCTACAGCGCGTACTGCAGCGAGGACACCGGGGGGCACTGCATCTGCACTAAGGGCAATAATAGATCGCTGGATGTCACGGTGACAACGACCAGTGACCTGTTTCAACTTCGAGATCCCTTCACGAAAGTGTCGAAAACCAGTGATGGGCTGTAGAACAGAGAAGCGGAAATTGATTTCAGACTCTCCGACGGATACAATGAGCCATTGGGCATCATGGTCGTAAAACTCTTTATGGATGTGATGAAGCGTTTCGGGGGTAAGAAAATAGCAAGGATCTGCAAATATCCAGTCACTCCAGAATGGCTTGTCAACACCGTTCAGGCGAAATTTCTGGGCTTCACAGAAATATGCCTCAAGATCGTTTGAATCAGTGCGTGAGCATACAACAGCAAGCTGGGCAAGAGTTGTCAATCTTGTTTGAGGTTCATGCCGGTAACTATCTCCAAACTGCTTATACATCGTCATCGTCATGGGAGATGTTTTCCCCCCAACAGTCGAGAGCATCATTGCTTCAGGCGTATCGACAATATAACTTGTGAGGGTAGTAAAGCAATAACAACTACGTCCAATGGGGTCAGACAATATGATACCATGTTCAGCTGGCTGTAAAACGATGTCGAGGCATTGGTGGATAAGACGATCCTGCAACACACCACGCATGCGCTTTTTCTTATGAACAAACTTTGGAACAGGCAGAAGCGCAGTGAGGACGAAAGAGTTGGTCGATGATTTCGAGCGTGTGTTCATGTGGAGATTTGCAAGGCTGATGAGGAGTGGATGGGCGACGTGATCGCCTGTCAATGAAGTGATAGTAGTCTTGTCTGATGATAGAATTGTGCTGAGCAGGGTTGCACCTGCAGGTAAAGCAGACTTCAAGGAGACATGAGTGATTGATTTCACCCTTTGATATGTCACACACCTGCATTTCCCAAGCATGATCTCCTGTCATCCATTCAGTATATACGCGGCAGACTTTCTGCCAGAAGTATATACTCTGTGAGCACTGTAGTCCATACGATCGTGAAACGATGGATGATTGAAGATACTCGAGATGCACTCGAGAGGATCACGCCAGTACAGAACAACAGGTGACTTCATAGGATGCATTGTAGTGATCACTTGCGACTTCCAACGCAGACCACTGGGCAATATTTCAGCTCGGCCCCGTAACTCTCTTGCTGAGTGGAACGATAAAGATAAGTCCTTGATCTAGATACTCTTAATTTAAGCCATAGAGATGACCTTGAAGTTGGGAAACACTGACCATTTCGAGGGCTAGAAATGAATCTATATGCCCCATGCTTAATCCCGAGTGCAGAAGCCACAATGAAACCTGCCATTCTTTCTGACAGCTGAATGGATAATAGAGGTTCAGTCTTGCGATATATACTGTTCTCGTCGGAGTCGAAGAGGCTCAAAAATGTGTATCCTTCCTCGAAGGTGAGTGGGAGATTGGGAAAGTGGTCTGTTACGTCGTTGCTCTCATCCTGTGTTTTGTCATGAGGCGCTCTCTCAGTACTCTCTCCTTCATCACCAGAATCCATTAATCCCACTGGTTCATAGGACTCGGATATGTGAGGCTCAATGTCGTCCACTTCCATAGGATGATCTTCTGGAGGGGAGTGGCTGGATTGCCTGAGTTGGATCAGGTCCTCAAGCCAGGTATTACATCCAGATAAGGGCTGACTCATATGGTGAGCAACAGATGAGTGATCTTTGAATTTCTTTCCACACAAGGGACAATAACTTGAAGCTTCGGGCATGCTGAATTTGTCAAGATATGAAGTCCCAAACAAGTCACAGGATAGTATAATAGTATACTAATACTATAGTATACGGGCCCGGCATTTGCCGATCAACATTCTTCAGAGCGAGTACGATGACTACTACTATACAATCCTTATCAATCAGCGCTTCAGGTTCATACTCGCAAAATGCTCTCCAGGCCTACTGCAATAGTGATGGAGACTCTCGCCAGCCATGTTGTTCAAATCTGAACACCAGTTGTCACACTAGTGGTGTATCCGATCTATTGGAAGTTATTGAGAATTTCAATGCTATGGTGAGTCAGTATTCTTTCAACATTTTTGTAAAGTCTCAAAAGGATCGGCATTTCAACAGTCTGTCAAAGATTCATGCGAAGGTGAAGCAAACCTAATGATGGACCTCGTAAGAGCAAAGCACGACATTTTTCGAGCTCAGAAGGACCTTGCAGATTCGATACTATGAGAAAATGAGGTTTTGTCGAGCTTGTTAAGATTCCAAGCTGAAGTTGTGGGGAAGAGGTTGGATGATGCAGACCTTGGATTAGGATATATGCGAGTTGTCTTCAAGAAGCATGGTTGGGCTCATCACACTCAGGCTCCTCTATCCAGACTTGAAGGACATCTGCACACCGGTAAGCTCGTTATACTGGTATCCCAGGATGAACCGGTGTCTGAACATATCACAGACAACTTAGAAAATGAGCGGTATGTCACCATCTGACTTGATTAATTTTATTCGTTGGCGCTTTCCTCATTTTGCTTTTATGTTTGACATATGTACTATGTGAATTCTTACAATTTCGTTTATATGTCCAAATTAAATGTTGTTACATTGGTTCGTAATTTTCAGTGCACTACTAGTTTGTGATGTAAATAATTCCAGCGAGTCAATTAAGAGTTTGTCTTGAACTTGGGATAATATATAGTATAGTGTGTATATGGCCATGACACTTGCAACTTGAAACTGAAATTACTGTAATTGAGTCCTGTAGTAGTCGAAGTCTGGAAGAAACTGTGACTCTGTGAGTGACTGGAGGTAAGTGGTGCTGTAGCTACTGTATGCTGTGAACTTTGTGTGAACTGTGGCGTTCTGTGGTTGGCTGTAGCTAGAATGCAAATTTAAGTTTTCTGTAGACAAAGTTGGTAGTTTGCTGATGTAGGTAGCTACCGATGTACAGAGTCCTTTTACTGAGACTGAGATAATACATTCTCTTCTACTCGATCTTCCCATGTGCGTTCACCTCAACTCACTATAGGTTATGAGCCCTGGTGCGGCTACAATGGACACAACGCTCCCCCACTCCAACTCTGCATTGTTCAATGTCCCAAAATTAGCTGAGGATGGATCAAATTGGATCACATACAAAGAACATATGTTGACTGCACACATACTACAGTGACCTATCTCCATATAATATGAGGGAACGGACGTGCATAATATCCCATATGATACGGGCCAGCGGACCATGGGCCCATGATAAAAATATTCTCGACTATGACGGATGGGCCGGGAGGCAAATTATTCCCAATGGAGGCGGGTGGGCCCATGCAGGGAATATATAGAGTAGATGAGTGGGCCGATGTAAATGAATATTAGGTAGACGGGTGGGCTGAGGTAGCTGGATATTATGCAGATGGGTGTATTAAGGTAGATGTGTATGAGATAGATGGGTAGGTACTTGTTATCACATTCACGGGTGGGCCCAGACACATATTAAATTAGACGGGTGGGCCGAGGGTGTTGTATGGGATGTTGTATTAGACCGGTGGGCCGAGGGTGTTGTATGGGATGTTGTATTAGACCGGTGGGCCGAGGGTGGTATACAATATAGATGGGTGGGCCCATGTGCATCATAATTGTAGACATGATGGAGCTGAGGTAGTTGTACATCAACCAAATCAGAGGAGGTAATAAATCAAAGTTACCAAGTTCCCGGAGCATCAGGTGATCTCCTGACATGGCAGTGCGAAGCTTGTGTTGCCCTACGAGACGCCAAGTTCCGGCCACCAGAATTTGAGTCAACTGTACCAAGTTCCGAGTTCCGGGACCCGGAACTCACCACATAAGTTGGTTAATACTTTTTGATGGTGCACAGGTTGTCTTGCAGAATGTGGAATCCGGGGTGCGAAGCTTGTGTTGCCCTATGAGAAGCCAAGTTCTGACCACCAGAATTGGAGTCAACTGTACCGAGTTCCGAGTTCCGGGACCCGGAACTCAACACATAATTTAGTTAATACTTTCCGTGTCAAATGGCCAACCGAAGTTGAGATGTTTCTGAAGAGAGCAGCAGGTGCTCTCTTGACATGGCCTCTGATGGTGCTTAGGTTGTCTTGCAGAATGTGGAATCCGGGGTGCGAAGCTTGTGTTGCCCTACGAGAAGCCAAGTTCCGACCACCAAAATGTGAGTCAACCGTACTCAGAGGAGGTAATAAATCAAAGTTACCGAGTTCCCGGAGCAGCAGGTGATCTCCTGACATGGCTGTGCGAAGCTTGTGTTGCCCTACGAGACTCCAAATTCCGACCACCCAAATATGGGTCAACCGTACCGACTTCCGAGTACCGGGACCCGGGAGTCGACAAATGAATATCTGATGACCAGCACACTTCCAATCAGGTAGTATTTCATTGAGCAATGGATAATAATACATCTTTGACAGCAGCCAAAATTATCCATGGCTCCCTTATCTGATCCTCTCTATCTCCACCCCCTATAACACCAAAGTCTGGACATCCAGCATTCAGCATCTGATTTCCCAAGATTAACATCCAGCATGAACGGTTCTTCCCCTTCCCCTCCTGATAGCATAAACATCTGGCGCACTTGGGCCCTGACTGTGACTTATGAAGCAGGGGAATATACTGAACAGAAATTCAAGGCAGAGAAGACTGGAGGAGGCCCAGTCATACCTTCCCCCAACCTAGACACTGATCTGGTGATGGTGTGCGATCGCTTGGCTGATGTACTCATAAAGGCATCTAAAAATCCCAGTGGGTCTTCCTGCAGATTCGGAAAATTCTATTTATCATTTGTTACAATCGCTCTACTTTCTTTACTTCTCACGTATCTGCCATTATGCCTTACGTTCTTAGCAGTTTAGCTTTCCTTTCTTGGTCTTACTTCCGCATTCGACCTCTGTACTATTATCTCACCGTAGCCTTGGTCCGTGCGCATATAGTTTCCTATTTAAGCACGTGTACTTTACTTAGAAACGTCACTTCAATCTTACTAGGTTTTACCCTGAAAACTTCCTTCACTTAAGACCACCAATCTTAAGACGTCTGAACCGATCTCTTTGTCAAAGCACTCCTTTGACTAAAGTCTACGAACCTCTTCTTATCTGAAGAGCTATACAAAGACCTCAACAACGTGAACGCTCTGTCGAGCCTTTGTTGTTCTAGAACTATCCTAGTTCGTAACAAAAGATTGAAGTGCAGAAGGACACCTATATCCATACGTGTCAAAGAAACCTCGAAACCAGAACAGAAAGATCCTGACTGAGCAAGACAGCTAGTGCAGGCGAAGAAAAAAGGCGACAACCTGACTTCACTCACCCCTACCTTCCAAGCCCTGAACCTCGGTACTCCTGTACCACCATTGAACATGTCGGCCTCATCCAAGACAACGGAATTCAAGATCAACCATCCTCCTACATTTGATGGCGACAGAGACAAGTCCAAGTCATTCATGCTCTCATGCAATGCTTACATTGATATCAACTCGGAAATCTATAAAACCGACACTCAGAAAGTGATCTTCATCTCCTCGTTCATGAACGAAGGAAATGCTAGGTCATGGAAAGAAGAATTCCTCGCAGAAGCCCAATTCATCGACTCAACTGGACAAAAGAAGGGCTATGGAACCTTGAAAGAGTTCAACGAAAGCTTTGACAAAG